TCCGTTTGCCTCCGAAATATTGTTGAAATAAATCTCTGAGTGCCTGGTACGGATCGTCTCCGGATGGGATGTCAGGGTACCTCTGCCACAGGTAGTAGGCAGCTTGCTCGCCTAAATTAGACGCGGCAGCAAGATAACGCTCCTTCTTGTCCGCCACTTTGTGGAGCTGGAATTTTATACTTAGCTGGGTCAGCCAAGTTTGGAAGTGGTCCGCGCCGCGCTCGTGATCGAGATCGAGCTGGACGGACACCTTTATCTTCGCTGCCACCTCGCGAGTCGTCACGACTGCCACGAGCTGAGCTACTAGTATATCCTGTTCACTGCGCCAAAATGTCGGGTTCGGTCAGACAAGACAACATTGGTGCTAGTTTCAGTTCTTGTCCAAAACAAACTCCAATCAAAAATCCTAATCCAAAAACCAAACAGTGTACGAAAACAGTGCCCATGCGCTTGCGCATCAGTAAGCACGCAGAACTAAGCGACCACATGAAAGATCTGCTCAGAAAACATGCATAAAACACAGAATAGTAAAACAGAGACCCATGACGCATAATGCACACAGCACATACATGTACATGACGTCACATCGTATAAATAGGTGGGAATTAGGGCTGAAACGATCATTCAATAACTCTTAACGATCAACCAATATCATTAACGATCGATATATTGGTTTTATCGATTCTTGTCGGCTCTACCCGTGTACCTCGAACACCAGTTTATGAAAAAATTCCACGATACTTTTGCTACGTTAGAAATTTGTGGCACCGCACTGTTGACATCTGTAGACATCTGGCTGGTTTATCAACATGACCTAGAGGATTTCATGTTGTTTCTAGAGGGAAGAATCTTGTGATCACCCTCTGGCAGCTGCTCTTATCTCTGACCTTTCCCGCAAATGAACTGAAAAGACAAAGAGTGCTCTCTTCCGATCTCTTTCAAAGCCACAAATCAATTTTACTGCGCTTGAAAGTACATGATTGTACTCGTATTCACTATCGCACGGCTGTTACGACGCGGCCAGAATCCAAGATGGCCGCTGGAGTCACGCGAGCAAAATGAAGCCGCTTTGATCGTGGACTCGAATCTAGGTCAACGATTTTTTTCTTTTTTTTGGAAAGGAGCATTGAACATTTGTCATTGGATTTGTTTTCGTCTTCGAAGCATCTCGTTCATGGAATTGTACTTTGTGATTTCTTGGATATTTTGAACAGAAATAAAAGTAGATGGTGTAGTGCTTCATCTGTCTAAACTCTGAACGGACTGCCGGTTTAGTTGAGGGACACTGGCAGCGCTGGTTCTATGGAATCAACACATGGGGTCAGCCCAGGATCTCGGAACGACCAATCGTACGAAGCATGACCATTGTGATTATTACCTGCCCTCCTCGAGCTTCAATACCCGGTACCTGTAGTCACTGCTTGGAGCTATAACACTAACAGTAGAAGCATATTGCAGTGATGCAGCGAATTGCCAGCCTGAGGAAACCCGCCACTCACACGCTTCCACAGTGATACAAACTGAAGCTCTGGCACAGCACAGAGGATGGTATTTTGCTGTGCACCAACAACCTCAGGCTGGAAATAAGCTACAATAGTAGTAGTAGTAGTAGTAGTAGTAGTAGTAGTACGTGTATATGTGTTGTAGTACGTTATTGTGTGTACGTCGTGTTTACGTTGTGTTGGTGCATGCGTGTGTTGCCAGGTTGCTGTGGTGTGAAAAGCAGTCTTCGTCTTGAGTTCGTCATGTCCAGTTGTTTTTCCGTGGTCGTCTTGTAATAACGAAGACTGCTTTTCACACCACCGCAACACGCGCATGCACCAACACCACGTACACACGACGCACACAAAATAACGCACTACAACACACGTGGTCGTCGGAATGTACTAGTGCTATGTTCAGGGCTCTCTGCTACGCTTGCGTCTCTGCGTCCGTGGCAGAAGCAGAGTGTGCTGTGGCAGCGCATTCAAGATGTGTGCTTGTGCACATGCATACAGCCGGTTAGCCGTGTTTCGTATGGAGGAATGATTTCGCTCCAGCTGATTGAAGGCAGCATGGATGGACTCTGTCCCCTGCTCATTCAGTAGCCCCATGCCCATTTGTAAATTTTCCAAGCAGCTGACTGCATGGGCCTCAAGAAGGTGAAGCTTTGGTGTGACGTTGCCACGACCACGCGAGACAACTTCCTGCGGCAAGCTGCAAGAAAAACAGAAATATTGGCACGCAGTTGTGAGAGCGAGTTAACATTCGGACTTACACTGGTGGACAATCCTACATGACAAGCTGCAAATTTAGAAAATAATGAAACATAGCGGTCCTTAACAACAGTAGCAGCTTGCACCAAACACGTCATTTGATCTCTCTGTCCTGCACTCGCACCTTCTGCACTAGCCTCTGCTCTCTTGGAGATGACATGTGCGGGTGCAGAACAGAGATCACTTAACACTTTCTCCTGCAATGTGTAAAGGAGGACGTCATGGATGACCGTCTCCGTGCAGTACGACCACTGCAATCGGTGGAAGACACCCTTGTAACCGGGGTGCTGGTCCAAACAGCAGGAGAGCCACCACCTCCACGGGCCTCAAGTCTGTCACCCTCTGCACTGCTCTCGACAACACGTTTAGTCAGGGCATCAAACACTTTCCCAGGGAAGCGGCTAGAACATCACCAATGGTGGAGGATTCAGACACTACTCTCTGAATAGGAGTGGATGGGGTGCTTGGGTTGTGAGAACAATTCTCAACGTGGCTCTTTAGGTCGCAAAGCCTCACCTGCACTGGGCAGCCTGTTAGCGGCGCCTTGTAGAAATCGCACTTCAAGACTGACTGCTTGATGATGTAAGCCACAGTATGTGGTGACACTAAATTATCTAGACAAAGTGCATCTTCATTTCGTGCTTTGCTCCAGCCAACATGAAATGCACTTCGCACAAAACAAATGTTTGCAGCATGGTGTTTCCAGAGCAGCGTCTACAAACAACGAACAAATGCCACACATTAATAAATAATTATTGTTCATGCTGCTCACGAAAGCGACTTGGGACAAGGTCAGCACCAGTTTTCAAGCTACCAGTCGCTTTTTCGGTGACATTGTCAACAGGAGTCAGGGTGGTGCTGATGGGGATGGGTGATGGCTTTGCAAACGGCACCTCACATTTTGCAAGTTTGGACGGTCGTCCAATCACACCCGACCCACAAACACTACAGTTACTATCCTGTGCCTCCCACAGTTTCATTGCCCCCCCCCCCCCCCCCCCACACACACCCCCCCACTAATCCTTGCATACCTCTCTTTATTCTCCTGAGCATTCTTATACCGTCGTACAACTGCCATGCATGACGCACAAAATAATTCAGGATATACATCAGCATTTTTTTGGTCTTTTTTAATAGTTGGAAAACAAGATTCTAACTCAGTAATATGATCCGACACAGCATATTTCTTAGAGACGCCTTTCTTCGCTATATTACTAAACTTACAACCACTAACACGGCACATCTGGCGAAGTAGCTCCCTATGCCTATCCATAAGATTGTTTTTGGTATTTTATATTTTTAGACAGGCAATTACAAACTGGCCTGAAAAAACAATCGTAAAGGAGCGTAAAGCTACGAGGACGACTCCTCACACAACATAAAGACCTTACCTTCGTACTCCAACAAGAACTGAAGTTTACAAAAACGAGGCACCCACACTAATAGCTGCCAGAAGTCGCTGGAGACCATCGATGACATCCACACAGTGAAGCACAAGAAGAAGAAGAACGATCCGGCACGGACAACTATTTCGACTTCGACAATTTCTTTTGAGAGAACAAGCTGCACGTGAGTGTAAAACACCAAAACCTTCGTAGTAATCGGCCTGAAACAATACTCGGGGCCCCTAACACGACGGCAACTCGTGAGATACTTCCCTAAAACAATGAGGCTGTCAAGGACAAATTTCAAACATGTCAAGAGGTCCTCAACGCATTCTCAGCAGGTCACCTGCGGCCTCGTGCCCAGAGGATTCTGGCCGCATTCAATGCATGCGTAACAGCCGTGATCGGATGGAGTGCAAGGGCTGGAATACTGTCACTCATATACATGCATAAAAAATTGTTAGCACTCGTTTTGAACACTAACGATTATCGATTGCACTCTTAACGATCGATATGCGAGTTATCGGTATAATTGTTTCAGCCCTAGTGGGAATCACACTCCTGTGATCACAACAAATTTGGCATTCATGGAAGTGAACTGCCAGAAAAGCGAGAAAAAATGCCAACCCCACCGGAACTCTAATCTGAGACCTTGCTTGTCATGAGCAATGATCTGAGCTATGGGACCAGTCACACTTTCTGGTCAATTTGAGTACATGTATATGGAGTATGTAGAAGTACAAAGAAAGGTTTGGCGGACTACTGGGAAAAAGTACTCAATGTGCAGAGTGCCGAGCTTTTTCACATGAGAAAGGGAAAGAGAGAGAGGGGGGGGGGGGATTGAAGTATGTCGTAACTGAAAGTTTCATGTCGAGGCCATCGTCAGACAACTGATATTAAAACCTGGGACTGATCAATTTATCTTCATGTGCTAGTACTAGCGCTGAATAGTATATTGAAGTACATACACTGTACATGTGAATAGTATAATTGAAGTACATAATGTGTCGTTTATGCCGGGTCTGTATTCCATCTTCCATAGAGACCTGCCGGGAGACTAAGAGACCACTTGGGTTGCACCAATTGGTGGTCGCTTAGGACAGATTTAACTGTACATGTACATGTATGTTATATCCAGGGTGCTTTATGCTGAAGTTTCCCCTTACTTCACATTGGTCGTGCCCCCTCTGATGCCACGTTGTCTGTGTGTCACGGCGAACCTGTGTTTATTGTACGGGCATGTTGTGTTTTTGTGTGTGTGTGTGTGGTGTGTGTGTGTGTGTGTGTGTGTGTGTGTGTGTGTGTGTGTGTATGTGTCCATGGGTGTGCGCATGGCCGTTGTGCTCATGTATTCATGCAGCGGTCCGTTGACTAACCAAGAGAACGAGTACAGCGGCTTGTATAGGTACGACGTGGAGTCTGGAAACTGGACTATGCTCAGGTATTGTACCAATATTAGCCTGCTCACATATTGAGCTATGCTGTTGTCTAGTGACTGCTGCACACACTTACTTGACTATGCACTGCCCTTACTGCTTGTGTTGTTTCCAATGACTCCTCTGTGTGTTGGGCAATGGAGACCCATCTGTATTGCTGGTTGGCCTGTTCCTGTGCGCCTTTCTAGCTACTGTAAATGTACAAATTTTCGGCAGCTATTTAATTTCGGCTATATTCGGCACCGACCCAAAACGCCTAAATTAAAACGCCGATGAAATTTTTCACAGCATCTGTCGCACTATGCCATGCCCTCTACCCCACGCCGAAAATAAATCGCCGCCGAAATGTCAAATATCGTGAAGTGCCGAAATTTTGCAGCGCCGAAATTTTGTATATTTACAGTATACGTGTACAGATCAGGGTTTATGGCATTGCCTGCTGTTCTTTCTCCTTCTCTGTGCTTGTGCAGATCAGGGTCAGAGCCAGGCGATGGTCCACTAGCCGGTCGTGTATCTCATGGCATGGCCCTAGTTCCAAGCCAAACGGTGTGTATCGGAGAAATTTCCTTTCTCCCCCCCCCCCTCCCCAATGCTCCCTTCTGCTCCATCATCCATGTTCAACTCCTATTTCACCCCCAATGTTCCATGTTGCTCCCTCATCCATGTTCAACTGCTGCCAGTAGAAGACGAAGGGACTATTAGTGACACTAGAGAGAACTAGAGAGAAGCTCTAACAAATAACATCGCGTCGAGGCTGGAAAGAAGAACCGAGATATTATAATTATGGAATGCCGTGTTGTCCAGTGTGTGCGTGCGTGTGTTCGTGTGCTCGAGTGTTTGAGTGCAGTGGTGTCCGTCCTGTCAGGTTCCGGTAACCTACTGTAGAGGCAGAAAATTTCGTCGGTCAATAATTTCGTCCAACTCCAAAGAAAAGGAGTTCGTCCGGTTGAAAATTTCGTCCATGGGTCATAAGAGTGTACAGAAACGCTGGACAAATCGATATTCGTCCTACATTTAATTTAGTCCAAAAGCTCCTTGGACGAAAAAGACGAAATTAAATTCCAGACGAATTTTTCTGCTTATACAGTATCTGGTTCATGGACTCTGTTTTGCGTTCGATGGCTGTTGTTTCTAGGGTGGTTGTCAGCTGGTAGTATTCGGTGGTCAACGCGAGGGAAGCCCTGGTCGTTTCCAGTGAGTCCGAACGACCGAGCTTTGTTTATTGTGTCGTTGTCTTGGCCCGATTAATGTTCTGCTCTACCCTGCCCTAGACTAGTTTACCCAAGTTATACAGCAGCTGTCAAGGCTATTGTTTTGATTCAATAGTGCCTTGAGTTTGTCATATTTGCCGGACACCTCAGCTGTGTCATGGTGTGAGCTCAGCTTACTTAGCCGATTTTTTCTTCCGTTCCACACACACACACACACACACACACACGCACACACATCCGTTTCATGGACATGATCTGCGGGTCAAACGCAACCTATCCTCAAATTTGATGGAAGATCTAGAACCAAACTCAAGTAGTTTTACGTTGTTCAAGTTACTGGTAGCTCCGAATTGTTCTCTCTTTCTCCTATCCTCTGTTCTTGTGTGACCTTCTAGTGGTGCTGAGTGCTATGATCCATCGACCGACAAAGTGGAGCTTCTCCCTGTTCCTCTACAGAATAACTCTAGTAGCGATGAAGCTGGCAATGGGTTCAATAGTGGTAAGGGAGCTGAAGCCTTCACCTGGCAGGGTGGCAGAGCTATGGGACCGCTGCGGTCTGATTTAGTCATTGTGTTTTGTATGTCGCATTTAGGTTGGGGGTATTTTTGGGGGTATTTTCTGTGGATTACATGAACCATGTTTTCTTAGGTTCTACACCTTTGATCCCTGGTAAGATTATATGACTGTGTGTGCACGTGTGTGTGTGGGGGGGGGGGGGGGGGGTACGTGTGCGTGTGTGCATTTCTGTGTCTGTGTGTGTATGTGTGTGTATGTGTATGTGTGTCTCTGTGTCTGTGTGTGTGGCTTCTCTTGCGACGGGCACACATGGTGTGCGTATGTGGGTGTTTTATTTATTTGTACTTGTACACACATGTGTATTTGATTATGTGCGGCGTTTGTGTATGGATTCTGTGCGGTAACATTTATGGTGGCACATGTTTCTTCTCTTAGTTCAAATGCCCAATGGCTCAGTGGAGTGTATTTATGATCAAGATCGACATGAACTGCGCATTTGTCCGGTGAGGAAGCAATTTGAACACGTGATAATTGTAGCAGCCGAAGATTGAAACCTCTCCACTTTGACACTGATTTTGTGGGCATATCTACCCACCACTACTACTAGGTCTGTGCTAAACTACAGCACAGTATTTGTTGGATGCAGAAGAACTGGGAGGTCAGCCCCGTAGCCTAGGCCTTTTTATTTTTATGCACTATGGCCTATGCGCAGTGGAGTCACTGCGTATATGCCGGTATGCTGTGTTTGGTGAAATTCTAGCCTGTTCGCTCTTCGGCACTCCGTTCTTTGGTGCTCGACAGCACCGTACAGCAAGATACCGGTAGTGCATGTAATAACATACACATGCAGTGTCTCTTTTTTCAAGCAAGTTAGTTTCGTGCTACTTTCGAGCTGGCGCCTTTACCACCGACTTTACCACCGACTTGATAGTTGAATGACTCATAATCACCACCCAGAGTAGCTCATCGGACCTTTTGACTCGTCACACGTTTTATGTTTGATGTTATGCTGTATGTACATGTGTGTGTCCATGTGTTTTGTGTGTGTGTGTCTGTGTGTGTGTGTGTGTCTGTGTGTGTGTGTGTGTCTGTGTGTGCAGAGTGTTTTCGGTGGTGATGTTCAAACAACTACGCCACCGCCTACTGTCAAGTCTCACATGCAGAACTTCCTTGTGGCATTCTCGCTGAAAGATATGCAGCTGTAAGTCTGGTGGTGGTAGAGTGACCACTTGCCTAGCTCACTCTTTGACTTGTTACCAACTTTTATGTGTGCCACTAGCGTAGTAGCAGTGTAGCTGACTGCTGCTAGTGCTGCTGCTGCTGCTGCTGGTGTGAGGTAGATGACTTGATTGTGTTGATGAATTCAGCACGCACACTGCATAGGGGCTGTGTGGTCCTCCCCTAAACCCTACTTGTAGTCCAGGAACTGAAGTCCTGCGCAAAAGATCCCGCTTAGTACTGGTGTCATCATTTTTCTTCTCTTCTTTTTGCTCTACGATATTAGTCCATCTTCAAACTCGCTTTGCGCTGGAATAGACTCTCTAAGATACTCACTTCAAACCTTCATTATTGTCTATGCCAGTGCATGTGAATCTGCAAGGAGACATCTGATAACTTCTGTATCGAACGGGGATAAAGAAACAAGCACCTTTGGAGGTCCGAATTCTGTCATGTGTTGGCCTACGGTCCTGTGAACAACTTTTTTTTTCTTCTTCCAATTTCTACAGGAGCTGGATAAGCGACGTGCAAGATCCCGGACCCCGTACTTCGGAGTCAGGTGGATGGCCTCAAATCCGAAGCATGCACAGCTTTGTGTACGACCCCAAGTCCAAGGTCAGTGTATGGGTATTTGTTAGTAGGGGGCACTAGGAGCTCATGTGCACATTGACTGGGTGGTCCTCGGTGCTATGCTTTGAAGTAGGGTTGGTGACCCGGTCATCAGCTCCTCTGAGTGGTAATCCTCAATAGCTGCGACTTTCTTGGTTCGAACCTTTTTCCGCCGGGTCTTACAGCAGCCATGGAGTGCACCCTGGGAGTCTTGCAAGCTGTGCTGTGCTGTGCTGTGCTGTGCTGGGCAATCTCCTCAAATCCAAGGCAGGTGTATACAGTGGTGTCGTCAGCGAATGTGACCAAGAACAAGCTCCTGACTTGTACATGAGAAAGACCGCTGGATCCGGTATGCTGCCCTGGGGCGCTCTTGCTGAAACTGGGTGCAGCGTTGAGCAGTAACCATTCTCTGCGATCCGTGGCTTCCTGTGGGGTAGAAATCTAGCGGCCATATTCGGGCCGTAGCTGTACAGCTGGTGTCAAAGTTCTGCAGCAGCTTACAGATTGCATGGGAAGCATTGTACGGTGGCTTTCTAGTTGCACATTCAAGCCATGGCCTTGTGTTCTGTTCTCTGATACAGGCTCACTTTGTGTTTGGCGGCCATGACTGTCACCAGAATGGTAGAGAAAGGCTCGACGATCTCTGGCGACTGACGGTAAATCAAAGCAAATACTGTGTGGAGTGTCAGTCTGTGTTGTGCCTGTCCGTATTGTTCAGTTGTCTTTAGTTCTACTCCTTAGTAGTGTTGCTACTGCATGGCTGTCGTACAGTGTTGGCACTTGTGAGTGTCTTTGGTGATGATCAATAGTTGCATTGTGCTCTGTCTTGGTGTGTGCTGGTCATGTTCAATGATCTGGCTGTGATGTTTACTGTGGGTGCATACTGTGTATGCATGCTATGTGTGCATGCTGTGGTGGCTAAACAAGGCATGAGCAAGTACCGTGGGTGCATGGTTACTCCACTCATGTCTCTCGGATTTTCCCATGCTTGTTGTTTCGTCTACTTAGTATTTGTGCAGTGGTTTCGTAGAAACTAGGTGTTTATAATTACTGATTTATTCTCGCCGGGGACGTTCAAAACTGTTATCTATCTGTAGCAGGAACTCAGGCTAGTCATTTGTCTGTGTTTGTCTTTCTCTTCAGATCGAAAGACCTACGCATGCAGCTATCCTCCGCCGAGCTATACTAGATATCCGCAAGCTACGGTCAGTCGTTATTCCTGTGGAGTGATTATCTCCCCGTGCGTGTGTGTGTACGGGGGGGGGGGGGGGGGGGGGGGTGCGTGCATGCATGCGGGTATGTATTGAGCAAACTGCATGTTTTAGGCTTACCGTAGTTCCGCGCATATAAGCCCACGGGCCTATATCCGGATATAAACCCACCTCCGTTTGTAGGCCCGTGGGCTAATAAACAGACCAAAACACCGTCACGGACCTGTTTGTCAAGTGTATTTTTCACAATACCGGTGCAGAGCTGTTCTTGTTGATGAACCAGAAAACAAGAAAGTGGAGGGTTAAAAAAAAGGAAATTGAAAAAGACAAAACTAGTGTTGAATTTTCAGCAGTGCAGTATGCCGACTCGACACATGCCAATTCTCAGACCTCATCATCTGCGCCGTCACTAGCATCACTGTCGCTGTCATCAGTGTTGCTGCCATCACTGCCGCTTGAGCTGTCACTGTCATCCTCATCTGTGTCCACCTTCTCGTTGGGCACCTCCCGTGTTTCGATCAGCTCACGCAGCTGAGTGTGGAGGGAAACATCACTTGAGACGATACCACACTGGTTGAACGAGGCCATGATCATCTCCCGTGGGATGTCTCTCCAGCACTCCACAACCCACTCAGCAACCGTGTCATATCGCGCTCTCCGCCTGCGACCTGAACGAGTGAACTCCTTCTCGCCATCCACCAGCCATTCATTCCACTTTGTGCGCATCCGGCTTTTTATTGGCTTGTTCCAAGTCACATCGCAGGGCTGGCGAAACGGGGTCATGTCACCAGGGATGAGCACAACATTGGTGTTGTGGGTCATCTCCAGCGCCTGCGTTGTGATCTCGTGCGTGTGACTTGCGTGGCGATCCATTACCAACACGGCGGGCTGACGAAATATCGAATTTGGCCTTGTCTGCCACACCTTGCTGATCCATGTCTTCATCAGCTCAGTGGTCATGGAGCCACCCTTCGCCACTGTCACGACACACTCAGTAGGAAATTTCACCTTGGGAACTTTCTTGAGACCTTTGAAAATTAGCATCGGCTTGAGCTTCGTTCCATTGCTCAGGGCAGTTAGAACCACAGTGAAACGTAGTTTCTCGTGGCCTGTTGTACGGGAGCGGACAGTACGAATGCCTTGGAAATCATATGTCGTTGTGGACGGTAGGTCGAACCACATGGGCGTTTCATCCATGTTTCCTATTGCGTTCAACTCGTATTTTTCGTCAGCGATCAATTCTTGAACTGATGCCATGAATGTTTCTGCCACCGTTGCAGCATTTGCAGGCGGCTGCTGACCGACAGTTGTCACTTGTCGAGTGACAAGGCCAGAACGACGCAGAAATCGGGAAAGCCAGCCCCTGGACGCTTGGAAATCGACTCCCTCGTCAGGGTATATTTGCTCCTTCAACTCACGCGCTTTGGTCTGGATTGCAGTGCCATGAACAGCCACGCCATCACCTCGTTGCTGCGTTACCCATTCCAGCAAACACTCTTCAATGTCGGGGAACTTGGAGAGCTTCTTGTAATTTACACGTCGCCTCCGTCGCTTCGTGTTGCCCTTCTTTTTACTCCGTGTCTCGAATTTACGAAGCTCCTCTCTCTGAGCGTTCCACCTGCGCAGGCATTTCCTGTCGACATTCAGCTCGCGTGAAGCAGCAGAATAATTCTCATCAAGCTCACGGAGCCGGTCGATGGCTCGAAGCTTCGCTTCCACAGACGAACTTTTCCGACGTGGCATTCTTGTCTTCCAACTCGAAACTGGAAACTACCAAACTCCGAACAGCGGCTAGAACGAAGTTGAAGACACCACTGCAGCTGTACTTATGGTTGATACATATGGTGGTAAAGACACACCTGGCAATATGGCGGTAAACACACGCCTGCCCACACACGCTCTCTAGGCTGCAAAGTTCTGGCACAGAGCTCTCCTTCTCACCACCACCACCATCATTTTTTTTAACAGTAGAGGAAGCGCAAAAAGTCTTGTCGTCTCCATTCCTGTACTCAAAAGTACCAAACGCGCTTGACCCCCATGGACTCTTGACCGATAGTACAGCATGTCAGTGCAGACTACATTACCAGTACCGGTACCTACGGTAATGGGGTATTCACACGACAGGCAAATCCACGTGCACCAGAAAGTTGCTATGGTATTTTACCTGTGAACGAGCAAAGTGCCTGAAAGTGGCTGAAAAGTGAAAGCGAGCTGGGGGCCCACTTTCACGATAATCGTGGCGTGCACGAGTACATTTACACCAAAAAGCGCGAAACAAGACTTGATTTTTTACGCAGCTCTTAGCATGATAATTATCGTATGTGTTTTTTGAAAATTTGAAATACCCATGGCTACTGGTCGGTGAAGCATTCAAAAATGCAAACGTGCCTGTCGTCGAGTGCAGCTGTGTGAATCCACACAGTCACTTTTCTCGTACGTCACTCCCTGTAAAACGTGCAAGTGCCTGTCGTGTGAATACCCCATAAGCGGACAACCGCGCACGGACTTGTACTTTTTCGCGTGCCAGCTGCCTTCAAAATTCGAATATAGGCCCAGGGCTAAAAAACGAACCATTATTACTGATTTTTTTTCCCGGAAAATGCATTATTTCGTATATTAGCCCATGGGCTTATATGCGCGGAACTATGGTAACTTATAGTATGTACTTTGTCTGGGGTGTTATGTACTCTTGCAGGTGTCTTCACCTTGCCTCAAGCGATCTGCCCGCAGCAATACGCTATCTTCAGGTATGTTGACTACATATGGTGTTTTTGTGTGGATGGATGGTGGTGCATGCACATATGTTGTGTGCACGGTTTTGGCACATGTGTGTAGCTGAGGGTTGTTGGTACATGTGTGTAGGAGAGGGTTGTTGGTACATGTGTGTAGGAGAGGGTTATTGGTACATATGTGTTGGAGAGGGTTATTGGTACATGTGTGTTGGAGAGGGTTATTGGTACATGTGTGTTGGAGAGGGTTATTGGTACATGTGTGTTGGAGAGGGTTGTTGGTACATGTGTGTTGGAGAGGGTTATTGGTACATGTGTGTAGGAGAGGGTTATTGGTACATGTGTGTAGGAGAGGGTTGTTGGTACATGTGTGCAGGAGAGGGTTATTGGTACATGTGTGTTGGAGAGGGTTATTGGTACATGTGTGTAGGAGAGGGTTATTGGTACATGTGTGTAGGAGAGGGTTATTGGTACATGTTTGTAGGAGAGGGCTACTGGTGCATGTGTATAGGCAAGAGGTTTTTGTTCCACACTATTCACTGGCCTAGGTTATCACTTAGGGTAGTAGGGAAGTAGACCAGCAGTAGACTTCTGTTGGTGTGTTTCTACTGAATTTGTCATGCTCAGGATCTAGTCTAGGAGTTCAAACCAACAGGGTATGTGTGTACCTGGTGCAACTCTTGCGACCGGGTCAGAGCCGGATTCGTGTGTACCTAGCTCAACCCTGTCAACCGAGCCAGCCACACATACATACCTAGCTCAACCCTGTCAACCCGGCTTTAATAACACACAGGAGAACAATACAGGTAATGCTGTCCACAGGTCGGCGGCGACAAATTTACTATCCAAAAGCAGCACAGATACGACTCAACATTGTGAAAGTCGTCAGCTTGTTGACAGGCGGGAAAAATGAGAGGGGCCCTCGATCGGCTAAAACATGTCTTTGAGTTTTCGTAAAAATTAAAATTAAAAAAAGTTGAGGAATGACGGAATGAATGCACATGCTTCTTCTTTGCCTGTGGCTTCATCATGAGCGCCAGAATGCGTTACAACTCAACAGCATCCAGCAAAACAGCAACACCACTCGGTAACAAAAAAAAGCTGAACTGTACCTGCTTGAAGTGCAAAAAATGTACGCGACATGTACTCTCCCAACCAAGTCACAAGTGACACGGTGTTCTTTTTTTTTCTTCGAAATGGTCCGAGTACCCTTCAACCGGGTCGCTGCCCGGGCACTGGAGCAGACACTGATGCCCATGTTTCAAAATGAGTCCTTGTGTTTTGCTGGGCGTGCTCGTTTAGTTGTAAGCAGCTAAGGCAGTAACGAACGTGGCTTTTTTTGGACAAGCAAGTGGACAATGCAGAACTTTTGTCGTGAGCGTTGTTTCTAGAGTCGGGAGAGCAGACTTAAGTCACAGCAATGACAAACGTGGAAATGCTGATTAAACTGAAGCGTAGCTGGATTGTAGGCTGTATATATCGTACTACTTGAAGTAGAAGACAGCTTGAGCTGACCTACCGTGCATTTGGTACTTGAAAGAATTACCAGGAAAGGAATGAGAACGGATGCAAATTGAAACCGTGCATACTTCGGTCCCAGCGCTAAGGAACTACAGTAGTACAGATGGTGAAAACGCATGCACATGCACGAGCTGTTTGCGAGCTCAAGTGATAGTGCTCCAAGTGTTGTGGAGTATGAAAAGAACGCAATGTCCTTGCGGTCCACTCACATCGTATTACCGTACGCGGTTTGTACGTGCCAATACTGTATGTGCCAGGTGTGCATTGCTGGCCGATTCATTGGGCAATTATCTGGCGCTAGTCTTGATCTGTCTCATTCGGATCTTGTCCGCTATCGTTGCTATAGGAGAAAATATGTTGGTGCACGTCCAGTGCATTTGCAGATTTAGGTGCTTCTCTTGCGGCGGGCGTATACATGGTACATTGTACACGGTATATGCTGAGAATATGTGCGATGGCGCTATCGGCATCGCGGGTTGGAGAACAACTTGGCCTTTGGACTCTGATATCATGAGCGTTTGGTTTGTGATCATTTTGTGATTTGTGCTGTCTTGTAGAGTGATGTTGGATCGTTTGTAGATAAGACCGTGGAGGAAGAGCGTGAAGAGGTGAGTTGTGACAAGTTGTGCGTTTCTATCTCCGTTGCACTAGCCGACGGTCACTATTAACGTATTTAGAATCCATTCACCTTGTTCTTTCTGAGAGTGATGTTGACTACAAGTGATTATTCCGGATCTTACGTGTTGGACATTTCCTTGGCGTTGTTTGAATTTAGCCAATAGTGTTGACAAAGGTGCTGTTGCTCAACTAGAGATGTTGCATCCTCTCATGCATGCAGTGTAGCAGCACTAGGCTGTAGCTCCAGCACTGCGTTGCGTTTAGTGCGTTTTGAAACGTTCCTAGGCCGTCAGCAGATACTCTTAGCATCTGAAATTCGAGGGTAGTGGAGACTCACTTGATGGCAGCGATGGCAGTGGTGGCTCTAGAGCTGACAGAGATGGTATTGGAGGTGTATGGTGGAAACCATGGCTGCTAGGCGAAATAGCAACCGTCGATTTGGCCGGATTTGACCGGTCAATTCTAGCCAGCTAACGTTAACCCATGTCTTTCTCTCATAATGGCGTTGAACTGGGTGGTAAAGAGCTGATTGTTTTACTTAGCAATACCAACATCATCGTCAGCTGCGGAAAAGTGTCAGCTGTGGAAAAGTTTGGTGCCTCCTGCACGCACAACTGCCTGCCTGACGTCTGTAATTCGCAGGTTGATCTGTTCTTTTTTCCCTTTGGCTCACGCTCATTTAACTTTCTGACGGTATACAGCCGACAACTTCATCCAGCCACGACATTAAGTGAAACATTGTCCTAGCTTGACCACCGTATTTAGTCCACATAGTCTTCATGTGGCATGTGTAGTGTTTAACTGTTTTCTTCTGCACAACGACAACAGTCATAGACTGTATCATGTATGTTCTGAGTTTGCGTGTTGCCCTTTGTTTGTAGCTCCATTCGCTTTGCAATGAAGTGTTTCAAGTGGCGCATGATACGAGAAGCGGTGTGGATCAAGACGACTCCAGTTCTCCGACCAGCTTGATTTATTATCGTAAAAAGGTGAGTTGTTGCTGTTGAAGCCATGTTTGACTTGTGCCGTCTTGCTGTTGCAACTATGCTTGTCTAGTGCACTGTACCACTGGCAGTTCTAATTTGGAGTGCTGCATGGCTGCATTTTCAGCAGGGAGTCTCAAGCAATTGTGGAGGTGTGTGTTACCTGCAATTCTTCATCTGACTCAGAAACTACGCTTGCCGTCATTGGTGTGTACTGGCAGCGCTCTTGATCCGCTGTAGTAGGAGTTGGGTGTAGTGAGGCAGATGTGGAAGGAGACAACACCATTGACAGGAGAGAGCAGAACACTTTGTATTACTGGGTGGTAGTGTTGGTGATGAAGCAACTCTCTTTCTTCCTGACGTACGTCAACCTCCTTTACTTCACACGCCTTGCGTACAGCAACTGCGTCCGTTCTGTCCGTTCTGTATTGCCTGGTTGTTTGGGCTTGTTAGCTCAAACACACAATGCAAACTGGTACAGGAACATCTGTACTCCGAATCAGGCCGCAACTTGGGTGGGTCTTTACCTTGGCAGTGCTCCTCCAAGGCTACTGACATCCATTAGCCAGTTAGCAAACTAGTGTCACTGGCTTTCCTACTGCTTCTCCTGCTGCTGCCGTGATGGACGGACAATACTCTTACAGTCTAACTGTGTATCTTTCATCAGGTGCATGTGTGTCTTGGCAGCTAGTTGTATCAAGATATGCCTGCAAGCTCAATCCTACATACTCCCTGTTTCCCTTTCTTCTTGTTTCCTTTCTCTATTCATATGCTGTTGTCGTCACCACTAACAGCTGTTTCAGAGGATCAGCTCCTATTTTCCGCAGGAAAACGCTGCGCCTCGCTCTAACCTGAAAGAAGTCGTTAGCATTGACAAGGACGCGCTGTTTAAATTCGAGATTTGACACCACATCCCCCATGTTGTGGAGCACATTCGCTGGTGTTGACGTTTCGTTTGTTAGTGTCTCGTAGTTTATCTTTCTACTAGCCATGGGCTCCCTTTATTTCATTGTGCCATGGCTGTCTGTGTTTTGTTTTGTTAACGCTGCGTATACAATCTTTACTTTCCATTGTGCTGTGACGCGATGCTTTCTCCCATAGTGTGTTTGGTGTTGATGTGGAGCCCCTTGTCCTCTCTCTCACCACTGGACTAGTATGTACAGGAAGTCTCGGACTATAATATGATTGTGCTTATTTTCTCTCTTTCTTTCCATGTTGAGACCTATTCCTAAGTTGGTGTACCGGCTACATATTCTCAGCCGCCAAGTCTATTCTCTAGATTTTTACTCATAGGCTTATACTTGCCTTGTGCGTTTCGTCTTTTTTTTTTACTTTAACCCGTATCTTTAACCCCGTATCTCCTCATTATCTTGCAGTAACCAGTGTTATCAGTAGTTGGCCATTGCTCAAGGCGTCTTCTTGATTTTAGCCCCGTCTTCCTTTATTGTATTGCCGTAACTAGTTTCATCACACTACCCACACAGTGTGTCTTGATCATGACTGTGGGATTTCTAGTGCTCCGTACGCCATACCCAGACGCTGTGCACGCTGTCTGTCGCATTTCATTTGCTGGTTCTTTCGATCATTCTCTCGGAGTCCCCGTCTGTACATCGCTGTGTGGCCTGCCTGCCCGCGTGTGTCGGTATGTGTGTGTGTGTCTCTGAGTGTGTGTGTGTGTGTGTGTGTGTGTGTGTGTGTGTGTGTGTGTGTGTGTGTGCATGTGTGTGTGTGTGTGTGTGTGTGTGTGTGTGTGTGTGTGTGTGTGTGTGCATGTGTGCATGTGTGTGTGCATGTGTGTGTGCAATAAAAAATTTTTTTTTTACCCTGGTGCCAGCTAGGAATGCAGGGAGTGTGTCATGCGCATGCTCCTCGCACCTCACGCCTGTCGTTGCTTCGGTTTGAGGAGGCTTGTTTTGGTGCCTGGACTCTTGCTGTGACTCTGATCGACTAACGGACTAACAGCCGTGCATGTACATGAGCATGTACAAAGAGGATCCGGAGCTCTGTTGTTTCCAATGGTCTTACCCCCATGTCGTGGCAAGTGTTATATACAATATCACGATGGTTTTGAAGGAAAGAAAGCTGTTCTGGTTCTCCGTCAGGGGGGGGGGGGGGGGGGGGATGCAAGCAAAACGTGATCCGGGCCGGGGCTACACAAGGTGTGCCCCGGCTTGTAGATGTACGCAAGTGCCGAAATCACCATGAAAATACTACTTGGCAACTCACTCTGTATAAATACATTGGGTCTCGGTAAAGTTTGGATGAAATATGATAAGGCCCAAACAAATAATGACCTTGTTTCCGGTCGCCCGACCGGGCCACTTCTTCCCAAATTCTGAAACTTTTTTTGGTGCCAAATGTATACAAACGGTGGCAATGCCATGTGAGCAAGTGCACTGAACAAGTCATAACTCAGTCAAATCTCAACCGAATTCCACAATCAAAACACCTACTAGGTAGCAAAGATTCTCAGCTGTCGGCTCGAAAACCTCCGGGGTCGATACGAGCTAGAATAACGGAGCTGGAAGGACTCGAACTGTTTGCTTGATTTCTCAGGATGTACGAAAACAGGAATACACCACATGCTGTACGAGAACAGTGAGTCAGTACGCAGTCAACTAACTTTGACATTGATCCTTGCCGTGATATATGTACAATGTACATGTGTAGGTGCTCTTGTCCATCAATACCACAACAATTGAGGAACCAAAATAAAATATCCAAAAAAAGTTTCATTCCGGCCGACCGAGTCTCCTTTTTGGGGGGTTGCTGACCGGAAACAAGCCTATTTTTTGTTTTGGCCTAAGGTTATGTCGGGATGCCTTCTTCAACAATAGGTTTTCACTGCGAGGCAGTCTCTGTATGTTGGCATCAATACAGCCATTGTGTTGGTGAACTTTTCTCATGAGATTTGCAGTGTTAGAGGTAACTCAATCTCCGATGTAGGGTTGGAGCAGTTCTACTATACTGTTACGTACTGTGAAGTTCAAGAACATGACTGTTCGGGTTAATCAATCTCTTCTAGAAAAAGTAAATGTGTTGATTCAATTGTAGTTACACATGCTAGACGTGTAGGTAGGGAGGTTTGCTATGTGCTTTGCAGCTGTCTCTTGGCATTGTAGTCCAGGATACTCCTAGCAAACCCATATCTCTTTATTTTGTGTTCAAGGATACGCCTGGCAATGCTATCTCTTTGTGTTGTGGTCGAGGATGCGCCTGGCAAATGTGCGTCTTGGCACCTCGGGCGTGTTCACTGGTGAATCGAACCTCTCTGGGCGCAGTGCCGTCAGGCTCAGCGTGATACTTCGCTCTTTCTTTGCTGCTGCAATTGCCTCTTCTTTTGACACTGTTGCTGTTGCTACTTCCGGTTTTTCTGGTGAGGCTGCCGCTGGTGCAGTGACGTTAGCAGTTACCGTGCGTCTCTTCTGCTGCTGTTGCTGTTTTTTGTGCTTGGTTTCTGCGTCACTCTCGTCACTGCTCGACTGCTCTTTGAGCACTTTGCGCCACTGTCCTGGACGGCGCTGAGATGATGAATTCTTGCTTCTGCTGTCCTCGCTGTCCGCGAGGCCGCTATCATTGCCGAAACTCTCCCGCCGTGCTGCAATGAATGCAGATACCGTACCGGGCGGAGGTATTGTGGCCGAAGATCTCTTCTTTGTAGTCACTCGTATCTTGGCGTATGGCGGCGTTCTCTCTCCTTCGCGCTGCGGCTGGTCGATGATCACTTCCAATTGCTGTTTGAGTTCAGTTTGACTTCCCTCGGACTGCTCTGCTCGCGTGGTGTTATCTGTACTGATACCCTCGTCGTCACTGAAACGCTCCAGTGTGCGGCCTCGGAAAGAAGATGCTGTGTGCACGGTGTTAATTGTTTCCCGGTCATCTGAGCTGAGAATGCTCAGTATCTGGGGTACGCGTGCGTACGGCTGCGCATCGTCGTGGCTGGCCAACTCCAGGTCCTCATCTGAGCGCAGCATTTCTGCAAACATGGGTGGTACTCTTGCGTACGGCACAATGTCGTCATCGATGAGCTCCTCCTCAAGCTGCTGCCTGATCTTCTGCAGGTCTTCGTACGGCTTCACTGTCTTCTGCTTGGCCCCGCCGTGCTGCTCCAGACGTTCGTACCTTGTACCGTCTGAATCAGTGTTGCTCTCTCCGTCGTCATCGTCGTCTAGCATTTCTTTCAGCGACTTCTCACCTGCCGCTGCTGCACCTTGGGCCTGGGTGTCGTGCACCTGGCCACGCACGGTTTTCAGGTCTTCGTAGCCGCCGTTGACTCGCTCGTCATCGCTGCTCAGTGCTACATCACTGCCCGCAGATGCTGCCAAGTCTTTGTTGGAGCCGGCCTGTGTTAATTTGGATAGCGGGTGGTTGTCTTTCGGCAGCGGTGGCAGATTGTCGGATATTGTGCGTCTCTTGGCAGTCGCATCGATTCCGGGGCGGGGTGAGTCTTGCGTGACTTGTCTCGGTAGGGCACTGGGTGTATCGTACGCCTCTGAGATTTCATCAGCCGTTGCAAGGACTTTCAGCACTGTAGGACTTCCCTTGCTTGGCGCGTCGTAGCGCTGGATGAGGTCTTTGATGGAGGATTGTCGTCTTTGCTTCCTTGCAGGCTGCTGCTCATCATCTCCGGAGTAGCTCTGTATGTCATTGCTAGTGATGTCTGTCAGCTTGTATGGGTTGACCTCGGTGGACTGCTGCTGCTGCTGCTGCTGCTGTTGCTGCTGCTGGTGGGACTGTCTCTTTGATTGCCTGTGCGCGGTGGTGAATATTGCAGAGTCGCTATCGCTGTCTAAACTCACAGCCGTCACACTGCGATGCGACAGAGATGAGTTTCTCTGCGTGGTGGCATTGCTGACTTGTGATCCGGCCCGCGACAGTGAGGACACTGTGCCGGACGGGAAGTGAGACGAGACGTCTGACTCGCTGCCTCGTAGCTGGGGATCCCGTTTACGCATGCGTCTGCTCGGCTGTGTGCGTATCAGGTCGTCAAGCTCGGCAGCCAGGGCATTCTCCATCGGGTCAGAATGATGCTTGGAGAAGAGCGCTAACTGATCTTCATCAAACTGCAACGGCTCTGCGTTACTGTCATGATCTGATGGTAGTGTTGTTGTCAGCGTTACGGCCGAGTCAAATTCCTGGCGCAGGTGGCTCGTGTCAACTAGTTCTAGGGCATTGCCTACGCCGATGCCAGTGGGATGTGTCCTGGACGTGTGGTGTGAACCGCCCGATGAGGCGCCGGGTCGTACAACGGGCATATCCAGCCGTATAGGTTTGTTCTCATAGAGCCTGAATGGATACAACACCACACAACGCCATGCAACACCATACAACACCATACAACGCCATACAACATGGACGCAGTTCGTTGCAAGCATTAGCAGCGGGGTTATGTGAACATGCACTTAAGCAAGTAATGGCATGCAACGGCAGGACGTACTCACTACTGATTCACGGTGCTACAGTACCTGCTGCTGGGTCACTATAACTAATAATAGAATTCGCATCGGAGTAGAACAGGACGTTCTGCCTCAAGTGCTGTCCTGTTAACCGTGGTATTTGTTTGTTCATTTATAGAACATTGTTCTGGACCTGATGAAGATATAGGTCAAGTCCGAATGATACGTGTCCTGACAGTCCATGCATGTTATACTGGGTGTGATTGGGTTAGAGATAACTACTGATAGTCTGTTACCTGGTTCTTGCAATACTTGTGAGAACAGTTCATTGGGTAGTTCCAAGTCTCGCACACACTGCACTAATCAAGTGTCCTGGCGATTGCTGAGCTACTTCAGAGAATGATCGGCTAGTGCAGAACGCATTATTTCTGGTTCCGGCAGATGCTATCATTCAGACTCGGCATGCACTACTAGTACCATGACTAGTTCAGTGTCTGCAGTTTAGTTCTAGTGTGTAGTACAGCTAGGCCGAACAGTTAGTGTGATGTCGCAGTGTGATTAGTCTTGTATTTTCGTATGCTGTCATACCTACTACTTCGAAGTATATTGTAGTATACCTAAGCACATTCTTGTTTACTCTACCAGTCGGTACTAACCATCCAACTGGACCTGTCAGTGTGGATCTTCTTCCAGTGCCCGTATGTGATCCTGCGCAGCAGAAAGAAGTAGATGTACTCGTACTTCAGTAGTGGCCAAAGAAATCCGACCCGCGAGTCAAAAGTAGAGCAGCGTTTACATTTCAATTACATCGTGCACGGTCCAAAAAAAAAAGAACACCCGATGGCCGTAGGGACTGCTTCCACCCTGGCGCTGCTTTTGGCACGTGGGGCGGATTTATTTGGCCAGGACTGTAGATGGAAGTGATGGTGACTGCAGTTTAACTGAAGGGTAGACATGTACACAGCGAAGAGTTGTTCCACCAATCGCATCATGATGCACTTGTGCAAAGTCAGCAAAGGTCAACAGTGAAGCTGTGCTTTCGTTGAGTATTTATAATGCTCACACATATGGGAGTTATTATGGGGGGAGAGAGAGAGAGAGAGAGAGAGAGAGAGAGAGAGAGAGAGAGAGAGAGAGAGAGAGAGAGAGAGAGAGAGAGAGGCGGGGAGAGAGAGAGAGGGGGGGGGGGGGGAGCAGGAGACGGAGGGAGAGTGCGTGTATGGTTGTGTGTTAGGGTGACTGTGGATCGAGATTAGAGTTGGGGATAAACAAATGTGTGCACTCTTGTGGAGTTGTACGTACCGTTGAGGTATCAACTCATGTTGTACCGGCTCGGTTGATCAATGCTACATTTGTGTCATTATTACTCAGTCTTCGTAATTGTTATGTGTGCAACTGCAGCGCTTGTGTACATGTGTGCGTGGGCATGCACATGTATGCATGCACGTGTGCATACATGAGTGCATGCCGGAAAAAACCGTTTGAGTGAATGCATGCCTACGTGCTGAACGAAACTTGTAGTTATGTATCATGCCTCACCTATGAGCAATTCGTTGTCAGCACTGCCACGAGACCTTTCCCTCCTCCACATGACACACTTGTAGCAGAGAACAGCAATGGCGATGAGAAGGAACGTGGAGCCTAGTACGCTTGGAATCACAATGTAGAGGAGCATTGACCGCAGCCGTGATGTATCTAATGGCGGTTGTGCAGAGGCAGAGAAAAAGGACAACATATTAAACTGACTAGGTGCGGAGCATTGACATAAGCTGCAGTCATGATGTCATCATGATGTCATCATGCCATCATAACCGACAAGCATGTAATCACCTCTCATTATCATGATTCTGGTGGAAGCATTTTTTGATTTGTTCGGCCATACCATAGTCTTTTGTCTTTGTCTGTGATATGGCATGGGCACATGGGCTCCTCCCTAGCAGTGGACATGTGTTGGTGGCCAAACAGTTCCTCAGGCCATGGCCTGGCCAACCTTAGCGGCTTGGCTGTCCCTGTGATTGGCATTGCCCCCTGGTCAGTTGAGTCTGAAGCAACCGTAGTAAAGTTGTGCTTTCTGCTGATCGTCAAAGCGCTAAACTCAAGCAAATGCAACAGATTAGGAGTGTTCCCTCCCTTCTCCTGCTGCACAGCAAGCTCAGTTGTGTGGCTACAAGCTTCATATTGTAAAAAAAAGAAGTCATGCTCCTTGCCAGTTTGTAAAACTACCGTCTAATTATGCAATCATGACTACTAACTAACCTTCGATGCACTTGACTTTCTCTGGCAGTGGATTCCATGTTCCGTTTCCCACGCACGTGGATCTCGATGTGTCTGGAACGTAGGTGTTGTTGCATGAATAGTGCACGGTGCTGTTTGCACCTGATCCCGCCCTGCTGGCTTCCAGGTGGCTGTCCGTGGTATTGACCTGACCGCACTCAATGTATACACAGGCCGGTGCTGTATCGGCACTCCAGACGCCGTCCGCACCGCACACGATCACCGTTGAGGTGTTCTTGGTGACGGTGATGTAGTACCCATGGTTACAGCCATACAGGACCCGGTCGCCGGCATTGAAACCGCCCTGGTGCGATCCGTTGGCAATTGCCGCTGGTTCTCCACAAGTTCTTGTACATGTCCAGTCAGGCTGTGGTCGCCATTTTCCCGAGCTTTGGCAAACAGTCTTATTACTGGAGCCTTGCAGCACAAACCCTTCATCGCAGGCGACATCCACTGTGGAGTTGACGCGTGCGGCAATGCCAGTGTAGTTGAACACCGTTCCGTTCTGCAGCTCATCCAACGCCCGGCACGTGATCCAGCCGCACACTGCAATGCTGTCATTCCACTGCCCGTTGCCGAGTCGGTGCGTGTGCGTAGAGCCATTGATTGGCCGTTGCCCATCCAAGCAGTGGCAGAAGAAGTCGTCGACATCGGCTGGTATCTGTGTCTGGTTTAGGTTACCGTCGCACATGGTTTTCTTGCATTCTGGTAGCGCCGCATGTGACCATTCACCAGTTTCCAAGCACGTCGAGCTCTGACTTCCATTCAATGTGTAGCCTGCCTCACAGCTGAAGCTCACCACCATGCCGTATTCTAGCGTGTTACCCGTGTCATTCTGCACTAGTAGCAGCTGCGAAACTGCCAGTGCATCACACTTGAGGGGTACGCATTTTCCCACGCCATCATTTAGAGAAATCCAGTTCTCGTCTGCGCCGCACGTGAATGTTGCGTTGACTCTATTGTCGGTGCTGAGGACGTGCCCACGAGCACATACTACTGTTATCATGTCCAGATAGTTGTACTCACTCTGTACTGGTGATGTCAGCGATAGGTCGTAGTTCGCGCCCATGTACTCCGACTGGGAGCAGGTCGCTGCAGGGTAAGCATACATATGTTTGCACACACACACACACACACACACACACACACACACACACACGCACGCGCGCGCACAAATGCTACTTAGTACTTGCAGAGATCGAAGTGGACATATTGTATGAATAATGTTGGTGCTTCGGTCGGATTGAATATCCTTAGCTGAACGTTTGCATCCCTTTCAGCTGGGTGATGAGTTTATGTGAATCGAGGGTATGTGTACTGAAGTATCACCAAGCTAGCAGTGTGACCAGGGAAAAAAGACAGTGCCGCACTCACCTAGTCTGCACGATGGCAGAGTGTCTGGCCATGACCCATCCATGGAGCATTCCAGCGTAGCCGTACCGTTCAGGAGATATCCATCATTGCACTTCACACCGACCGGACTGTCGTACATGAATCGGTCAATCTGGCTGATGTTGGAGTCGGCAATGTCCAGCGTATCACAGGTAATGAGAAAGCACCTCTCTGGAAGCATGTTCACTGGTGACCAGTTTTCCGACGCTACGTACCACCGGTAGTCATCCTGGTCGATCTCTACACATCTCACGGTTAGGCTCAACAAGCTCTTGTCCTTGTTGATCAACTCATATCCAGCTGGGCACGACAATTGGAAGTTACTTTCCACACAGACATTCTGTGGCACTGCTGGTGTGATGATGCCGGTGAAATTCAGTAGTGCTGGGCACAGACCTGGACCACCGCACATGCAGGACAAAGCAAGGTAAGGCGGGAGAGAGCAGGAGATTGTAAGGTAAGGCGGGAGAGAGCAGGACATTGTAAGGTAAGGCGGGAGAGAGCAGGACATTGTAAGGTAAGGCGGGAGAGAGCAGGAGATTGTAAGGTAAGGCGGGAGAGAGCAGGACATTGTAAGGTAAGGCGGGAGAGAGCAGGACATTGTAAGGTAAGGCGGGAGAGAGCAGGACATTGTAAGGTAAGATTCGCGGCATCATGTTTTGCTGTTATCCGTGATCTGCACGTGTGCTCGGAAAAAAATCTATTCTGCGTTGCTTTTTAGTAACAGTAGATCTACTAGCGCCATCGCGGGAATCGATCGTGGGGCCAACTATCACATTCAAGAGACAATTGGCAACAACAACAACAACAACAACAACAACAACAACAACAACAACAACAACAACAACAACCACCACCACCACCACCACGACAACACAACAACAGCAGCAGCAACACCATTTTCATCGTGAGGATAAAGATTTACATGCATAACAGAATCAGCTTCAGTTGTTATCAAGAGTAGATAACCTCCCACTCTTGTTATTATTACTAATACTTCAACAGGGCCTGGATATGATGTTTTCTGTTCCAACCAAGCTAGTAGCATACAGTGGCCACACATGTATTTAAAAGTGCCTATTGCAAAGATACTTACGGCAATCATCACTAGTTGCTGTCTCACTAATTGTAGATTCTCCGAGTGTGTCATTAGTGGGGAAAACGTCGGCTGGCAGAGTTGTATTTGCACTCACTGGCAAGAAGACCGGACTGTCTGTAGGTATTGTGGTGTTGTCACTAGGGGTAGTTGCCGTTAGCGACATGGTGCTGTTGCTAGGGAAAGTCGCCGTTGGCAAGGTGGTGGTGTTGCTAGGGCTGGTTGGCAAGGCGGTGGTGTTGCTAGGGCTGGGGACGATTGGTGCTGCTAGTGTGCTGCTGTTATTTGCTGTAAACACACAGAGGACACAACAAGAGTTGGTAATTGGCTGCTTCAGTGACGTGATACGTGACTGCACTGCATTAAAGTTGTGGTACACATACATGTACATGATTGTATTGTATTATCTGATGCACCATTTCCATTGACACAGTCACCAGTGCAACAGCAATACCACTTCAGATGTGGCGAATTGCAATTGGCACAGTCACCAGTGCAACTGCAATACCACTTCAGATGTGGCGAATTGCAATTGGCACAGTCACCAGTGCAACTGCAATACCACTTCAGATGTGGCGAATGTCTTTGATTGTATGCACACGTACAATGTACGTGTATGCGCTACCTGTGTTTTATTGACCAATGATTGGCCCAATTGCCATGAAACAGCACGAGTTACAGCAATAGTTCTACAACATCTACCATGACAGAGTAGTCTCGTCAAGTTGAGAAAACATGGGAAGGTAGAGGATATTCACTTATTCAGTTGGTGTGCTGTCATGTACATGTCGCTGTATTCGACAACTGAAAGCCATGTAACAATGTTACCATTGAATTTGTGTCGATACTGACTCTGGTTAGGTACCATCACTGAAATAGCATGTGATACTGACTCTGGTTAGGTACCATCACTGAAATAGCATGTGATACTGACTCTGGTTAGGTACCATCACTGAAATAGCATGTGCAGTTTGCCCTTGGCGGGTAATGCTCGAAAAATTGTCAGGTGGCAGAACCATACAACCCGTATGGCAGACACTTCCTCGACTTCTACTCCATGCAATTTTTCCACATACCAAACATGCATGAAACATACCAGAAAAAGTACCAGTACCAAGTTCTGCCAAGTGCTACATGAACATTATACATTGTACATGTACATGTATGTGCAGCTAGGGGTTAACAGTACCTTTTAAACACTCAGTGCTGTGGGGCATGAGAAGTCTAGGTCACTACTACAGCTCTTCCACACTTTCTCACTTTCTTCATGACACGTGACATGTATACTACTTGCACGTAACAGGTAATTGCCAGGCGTGATGTACACTGTACACGGTATGTTCATGCACAATGCACAATGCAAAATCATGGTAGTGCTGACTCTGCACCGTTGCACTGTCACACTTGCGTGTGATCTGATCCGCTTGCTGGCTCTGCAGCCGCCCCATCAGCAGGTAACACCAGAGGTGCAGCAAGGAAAACACACAGAGAGATTCCAATGTTTGGGTGTAGCAACTGTGGATCACGGAGATTTGGATCTCTTTCAGCTGCAATTGTGATTGAAAGGTGTTGAGTTTCGTTTCGAAACTTTTCCGAGCCAGTAGGCGAATTCCATCCACTTGAACTGTCAGTATAGGCAAAAGTATCTTTTGCACTATAAGTGGAATGTACTCACACATTGTAATATTTCCCAGGCAGCAGTCAAGCGAAGTCCACCCTTCACTTCTGTGTTTCAAGCGACAGACCTCTTCACTGAAATACGAAGAGGGCATTGTGGTGCAGGGCACAGCTCTGAATTCCTCGTTTCCACGCTAATGCTATATTTGTGTGTACTCTATTGTTGTTACTGTTGTTGTTGTTGTTGTTGTTGTTGCTAGGGTTGAAAATGATATGCAGTTTAATTATCTCTAATTAGTCCATGGATAGGATCTAGGAATGGTCTAATTGCCTATCCGTTATCTGATCGTAATTTATTTACGAGTGGAAGGCGGCATTGGCATTGCTTTCTATGTGTCTCGCAGTTGAGTGGTTCATGTCGATTGTGTTCTCGGGCACGCCGAACTACTATGCACCGTGCCTGTTCGCCATTTTCTTCTAGACCTGAACTGAAGCGTGAAGGCTGTGCATGTAACTGAGTATTCTAATCATGCCCGCAGCTCATGTTTACCTCCTTCGCCGGCGTTTTTCAAGAGGATCTGGCTCCAGGCGTTTTCTGTTTTCTGCGTTTTTACAGGGCACTAGTACTATAGTAGTTGAAAGTCATCTTCCATTTCACACAATATCAATGTCATGGTTGTTGTGATCATGCCATTCATGGTGTCGGGTTTAGCCGCCGCTGGGCACTGGCCTGGGCATTGACCTGGGAGTTGTAAAATATCGACTAAAATGGCACATGTCTTCACTGACTTGAGTCTCATTTGCGCTCCTACAATGTGGGTCACATGATCCGACTATCACGGTCAGCCTTGCCATGTCTCTTCAAGTTCTAGTGCAGTTCCTCATTTTATTACGAATACCTATGGTCCATACCTGCATCCCGCTAGGAGAGTGGCTTGACGTAAATGTACAATGGCCACCGTGGTCTTGCTTGTAACTACGAGTCGAGTACGTGTATAATGTACATCACGGTATGTTCAAGTTAGTTGTCAACATGTAAGGTTGGCAATTATTACAGATCTCACACCTTAACCCTATCCTGGACTTCTCGGACTTCTAATGCGACTCTCGCCATTCCCCCTTCTCGGCCAATATCAGTGAGCAGAGAAGAATGTTGATGGAGTGTCAAGTTGCTCTAACCCATAATTATGAAACTGCCGTCCTTGAGTTCTGTCAGTAGTTTGCCCGGAAGGAACGTACCCGTAAGGATGGACTGTCAAAACGGTTCTGACCTGAGTTTTTCCAGTGCATACATGTACTGCACAACTGCTTGCACTATGATCGGCCCAGGCAGTATGACAGGTGTGGTGACAGATTGGGTTGTTGAATACAGCAGATCTCCTCCATGATCCATGTGCTGCACTACTCACTACATGTAGTAGCAAGATGATGTACATGTACATTATGAGATGATTTACTCTTATTTACTCTTGGTGGTAGTAGTAGTAGTAGTAGTAGTAATGTCAATGCCGCTGTCTAGACTTTGTCACCCAATCTCACAGCCTCGGAAAAGCTGAGTGGGGTCCTCAGCTTCTTTCTTTTGATCTGACAAACACTGAAAGTCTTCGAAATAGAACTCATTGGCGTGGGAAGTTGAAGGAGTTTTTCTATGATCTTGCCGCCCACAGTTACGTATTCCTCTGCTCAACTTTGACCACAACTCTACTTTGTAGGCAGTGTACGCCTACCCCTATTGCCATTGCACTCATCGTACATAGGAAGTCTTTCCATTTCGTTCTTTTCGTACATACGTAATAGGAAGAGTGCTACCCCCTCCCCAAACCGCTGAGATGGTGCAAGTATGGAGCACCCGCTGTTGAGTATCATCGAGTCTTTTAAGTTCTAAAAGCGATTCAGGATTGATCTGGGCTGCATATATGTAGTTCATATGTTATAATCGGCACCTGGACATTCCTGCAGTTGGCAGGCTCCTCAACAACTCTGCTTCTAATCAGCTACTAATCGCATTAGCAACCAGCTCCGTAGATCAATAATCACCCTGGTCCCAATGTACATTACAGGGTACGTATTATTGGATTGTCAATGTTGACCATCTTGGCACGTGCATCCATCTATTTATACGCCTGCACTGCACTGCACTGTACTGGATCATGGACGCACTGTTACATAAGGTACATACTGGTGTTCTGCTGGTGTGACACGTGACAACAACATCGTGGTAAGAATAACTCTGCGACTGGGTCACCACCACCACAAACTACAAGGTACTTCTTCGAAGCTTCCACGGGTTCCACGGGGTACTGAACAACACAGCATTAATGTTGTTTTAATAATAGTAGTATAGTTCGAATGAGCGACAGCATACTTTGGTTAAGGCTAGGGATGTTCCAGTTCCCGGCTAGCTAGCAGCTACTCCTGATTTCGGAGAAGGACATCAACTGATCAAGATCTGTGAAGGAATCGCTCCCACAAACGTCTTCCTGTACGTCATTGGAGTGTGTTCTATGCACACGATGGTTGAGCGAGTTCGAGACCATTGCTTCTGGTCCCATCACCCATGTGCATAGCACGTGACAGAGATGACCTACTCCGTCAACTGCATGCATGGCAATGTCTCAGTCGCCGCTGGCCACTCCCCATGGCTTCCAAACAAGACTGAGTTACCGGTAGTTGATCTGCATTCTGTAAACAGGACAGTACTCGCTAGGCAAAACAGATTAATGTTTGGTCTCTGCGGGTAGGATGTCAGTACTGTTTCTGTAAGCAAGTACAGTGTAATTGAGACGTCCCACGGTAGTACAGTACAGTGCATGCAGTAGTAGGGACATAGTCATTGAACAACATAATTGAAGGTAGTACAAGTACATGTCTTCGGATCTCATTCTTGCCAGGGTCTGACATCCTTGGAAGACTCTGAGAAGATGACACTTCCCGGAAAACAACCAGGAATTTGTAGAACAACAGTAAGCATGTACTTGCAAGTATCAACTGGACCATGAAACTCATCAGTCGGTTGAAAAAGGTGGACATCGTACAAGACAAACACAGGCATGTACAATACATGTAGCTCCGAAGTAAAGTTTGAGTGCGTCCTCTAAACAACGTCCAGCAGACCGTGCTCCGCACTGCGTTGGTTCTGACTGCTGTGACTCTCGAAGTCCCAGTGCTCAAGCGAATAGTGTTCAATGAGAGTCGACTAACCCGAACTTCCTGTAGGCAATGCGCGTGCGCGTGCGTACGTGAGCGGAGCAAGTGGTTGGCTATAAAATTGAAAAATGTATAATGTAAAATTGCAAAGTCTATGATACAGGCAGCTTGTACCTGTGTAGTATGTGGTGTGTTTTTCGCGTATACACAATGGCTATGTCATAACGTTCGTCTTGCCCCAGGCGTCAGCGACCAATGTTCCCGTGAAAGGCCCATGTTGGGAAGTCAGAAGGCCCCTTCGAAGAAGCTTCTTGTCCATGCGGATGTAGATGATGCCGACACCTCTAAACTAAAGGCTATGGAGACGACACCTCTAAACTAAAGGCTATGGAGACGTCGAGAACCCGTACGCTTTCATGCTCAGTCTCCCGATCACATTCACTTAGCCGTGTACTGAGTACTAGTAGCTGATTTAGAGATTACCATTATTTTCACCTGAAGAATGAAGCCAAGATGGAGTCCTCAAGGTCTAGAGAGACGTGTCGTGACAAGCAGCACAAGCTAATTTCCATGCCACTTACGCAGCCATGGGCGAAGAGTTCGTAATGCCCCCCACAGCTAGCACACTGACAGAGGTACGAGATTAGCATTGGGCCTCCTCACCGCAAACTCACGTCACCTATTAACCTATAAACAACGCACAATCAACTGACACTATTCGCGCATGAACATAATGATAGCGAACTGAGGTTGCTTTGCTTCATGACCACACCCTATCACCTAAACACGTACATGTACGTGGATGTCTTAGCTACTGGTAGTATTCAAGAACACGTTCAATGGAGAGGTCCCCTCCCAGTGTGTATATACCAAAGGCGGAACTGTCTACCGTCAAAGGAGACAACCAGACAGTAGTTGGTGGAGCAGACAATGACAATGCAGGCAAAAGGTGTCCGAGCTCCACTCACTAATAATCCTCTTACCCATTGCTACCGTTTTGACACATACAGCCAGGAGGTTCTTGCAGAGTATGAATCGAAGGAATCAATCCCATGTCGATTGGTGTTACTCGAATGTTTTGTGTTTACAATTACAGTACTATAGCTTTGCAACATCTTTCTAGGACTGTTTTAAACTATTTGCATGCGGATGTCTGTCAACTCTGTTTGACGTCCGTCATACCTGCGCTTAGGCGATATCTAGCAGGAAATCTAGCACGAACGATCGATCTGTACATATCGGTAAATTGATTTAACGTTCCCTGACAGTGGGACACACTTTCGTGGTTGAGCAAACCTTGGCATCTGGCGTGGAAAAGGAACTCACCATCGTGTCACGTGTTCACCACCACATCAGGGACCAGGTGGACACTCTCTGATGACTTCCATCACCAGTGCCAAGGCACTGCACTTGTGTCTCAATGCACAACATGTTAGTATCTTGCGCTGGCATGACGTTATTTGGGGCAATCTGGAGAGCTCCATATGTAGCCGCCCTTACGAAGTTACATTCTTCATGTAATTCCACAATATTTATCCCACGGCTTGAGCCACATTTCCTACTCTCATGCCTACAAGTGAAGTAGACAATACAGCCATGTATATGTACTCAATCTGCGGACAAAACTGTTTCGTCACAGGGATATAGGTGATGGGTTTCTGACCATCTGTAGACTGTTTGCTGTTCTCTGTACTACTGCATCACAACGTTGCCCGTCCAAGAGTCCGTTGCCTTTTAACGCTACAAGTGCTATGTGTGTCCGTCCGTGGATCGTCCTACCAACACGCCGTTCGGTTTTTTGCACGACTCCATGTCCCTGCCCTGCTTCAACCTCCCGGCATAATGTATCATCATGATGGTGCTCATCATATCTTCCAGTTTTCCTGGTCAAGTCTAGACTCGCTAAAGGCAGAAGAGGCACCTATCAGCTTCAGACAAACTTTCATTGTTCCACCAAACCTGCTAAATGCCTACTGGAGACAAAGAAACAAAAGGCTCCAGTGGGAAGGCGGTGTACCTTCAATTGATCTGCTCTCCTTTCTACTCAAAGGAAGACGACACAGAACACCTCTCTTCATTTGCTCTCTGCTTCAAGCGTCGTAAGCCAGATAGGAAAGCTAATAGTGTTAGTCTCAGATTCCATTGTGCCCAGCGCACGCTGGGATGGGAGATGCTGATGTAGCTGTGTGTGAGGCATGTGGCACACAGTCGTACATTATTACCCCTGCCCAGGGCCATACCACTCATACTTAGGTCAGGCCTTTGTGCTGGCCGCTCTGCAAGAAGGAAGAACGAGGACGTGCCCACTAACACTAATACTTCTTGCACAATACAATGCAATATTTGTAGACTAACGTAGTTGTAGCTTGTCCCGCTCTTCATTCACAATCGAATTACTCTGTACTACTGTGCGAAAGAGATGCTACACGATATCAGTAGGGCGATCGTGCAGCCCAGTAGAAGGATGTGTTTACCCAGCCCCAGCCCCAGCCCCAACCCGTCATGCGTAAGAGTGGCTACATGTAGCAGTTCTCACTGGCTACAATTAGTATTGATAACAACGAGTAGGAAACATTATGTGGCAAGGTGAGAACTTCACAACGCTTACTGGCCATCATGCTCTCCTTACCCTCCAGGCGTTCAGGGCCAAACGCCAGCAGACACACGAGAACAAGGTGCGTCAATGACCTCGCCATTGCCATAGTCATTGCGTGAGTATGCTTTGACCCGTGTTGGCCGCTTGCCGCTGCTGCTGCTTGCTCCGCCGGCGCTATCCGGATCAGCCAACCCGGACTGATGTGGAGATTAGTGTTGCGTCTGGCGGTAAGAACTGCGCTCTATCTGGCGAGCAGGTACACATTGAGTCGGCTAGTTTCTTTGATCTCAGTCAATCCAGGATTACCGAATCCACTTCTAGGAGAGTGTTTGAGTGTTTGACTCACTGAGCGCTGATTGAACGCTACTGTACTGCTGGACTAGGCTATGGGTGCAATGGTGACACTACATTTGCTCGCGAACAAGAGACCGCACGCAATCCTTGTTGGAAATGGTGCACCCAGCAAGTGCCTCCTCCGCCTCCTTCTCCAGGGTCCAGGCCTGGCACAGTTTCACAGCCTCATCTCTGACCGAGCTAGCTGGTCTATCAGCAGCATCATGCAGTCATACTTCACACAGATTTGTGTTTTATTTTTGCTAGTCTGAGCTCCACCAAAAGATCCAGCCATCTGCTTCAATAGTCAACATCAACGTCGCCCTCTGAGGCTCAAAGCCAACCGTCCCTTTTTCCCAGTCAAATCCGGTGCGAGCCGGGAGACAGGCTAGAGGAATTCCATTCTAGCGCCATTTTCGAACGTGTGGTCGATGGATGTGACAATCTTAGTCACATGCGTAGCATCGTTCCCTGCTGACGGGAATCTCAGCTAGGTTTTTCGCAAATGCCTGTGAAATCCTTCTGATCGTTGTCGGTGATAGATCCGCATGACGCGCCATGCTGCACACAGCGTGATTGTATTTTCGGCTCCAAGGTTATTGCTCCATCGTACGCCGTAATGCATGATTCTATTGATTGTACACGGCTGCACTGATTCATGTAGTTTGCCGTACAGCAGGGTGGTGGTCTTTTGGCATACCCGACAGAGTGTGTGACATCTCCCTAGGCATGTGTCATTACTAGTGCTGCACAGACGGACTGTCATTGTGTCAGTAATGTGACGCAGTGGGCCTGACTGGTCACTTAGTTGGTACATCCCAAACACGTAGAGTCTGTTGTAGACATGTACAATGTAAGGGCCATAGCCTAGGTAGCAGCAGGATCAGTAGAGTAGGTCCAGGTCCAGGTCCGTCCATATCCACGCCACTAGCACTGCATCATGGCGTGGCTCGGAGCAGACATGGCATGCAACCAGAATGGATAGGTTTCCAAGACACGACTAGCAAAGGGCAGCAGCCGCTGAGGCTCTGTAACCACTGAGTCGACTGTAGTCTGTATTGTTTGCTGCATAATTATGCAACAGCTCATTTATGTACTCCATGCAACAGCTCATTGATGTACTCCACGTCATGCACTGATGTAGAATGAAATCGCAGGGTTCTTATCAGCTTCCATTTTGACATGTGCGCAGTTTGACATCACTGCCGAACAAGAACAGAGAAGGATTGATAAGGAGGAATGAATGATGTTCACAGCAGCGCTCCAAATCCTGGGCTATGGGTAGGATGATACAGACTGCTCGGGCTGGCTTTTGTAAGACTGTGATGTCGCCACATGGATCGATTTCCGTGAACGTCCGCCCTCCTCCCGCGACAATCAACGACGATTATCTTGATGTCCGTATGTGGAACCACGCACGCGAACCTAGACGGGTTTTGGAGGAAAGACTGTGCACGGCAGGCAGGTTGGCTTCGTGAAATCATGTTCGCCTTCCAACAGAAGCACACGTGCTCGTTTGTGATGGATGTGTGAAGTGTCAACAAAAACAGAGCCAGTTTTAATCGTTGTGTTGCCTGCGCATGTGAAGTCGGATAAACTTTGCAGCCAACTTTTCAATCGGTACATAATGTACATGGCTATGACTGGTTCTAGTGGTTAAATGTGTAGCCGATCTGCACGTGTCATGAATATTATCACCTCTGAGCTGCATGTACGCCAAGGCAGGCACTAGTATGTGCTACGCTGAGGGAAATGTGAGCAGTTCTGAAGTTAGTTTCAGTGCCACGAGCCACTGCCGCTGCACTGATGGGCACAAAGAGAGGCACATTTCTTTGATTCCACATCCCAAACACTTTTCTCAAGGTTTGGAGACTCCACTGTAGCCAATACTTGAATCCATACATCCTGTACACACACCTTGTACACACTCTCTCTAACGGTCTCTAGGCTACACTGCAATTGATATACATTAGATCAAATTTTCGGGCAAGGCCCATCATCTAGGATGCTGCTCCTGGCTGCATGGTTTGCGGCGCGGCACAAAGGCACAGGTGTACTGCCTTCGGTGGCAAAGAGTCTTGTTCTCTGCAGCTCATGTCCTCCATTTCTTTCTCTCACGGAGAGTCACAGTTACCATGGTTACACCAAGTCGCAAGAATACATAATGGCTTCACGCAAGTGCTGTCCAGTCCGTTTGGATCTCGCTACCAGAAAAAGCCTTAAATAGGCTCCTAGGCTAGAGCATAATTATTTTGCTCTTGCTACTTATAGCCTTTGCACTTTGCAGCTGTATTTACTAATAATTTACTCAACACCATGAGCACGTACATGTAGTTGGTCCGCACGTGAACGACAAGTACCAATTCGGGCAGCAAATCAAAAATGAGGAATCCTACACAGCAGGAGGATCAGGACCGTGGAGATGTGTGCGATGTTGTTGCCAGTAAGTAGCTATTTGCGTCGTCATCTGCGCGACATGAAGTTTTGCGCTCGTGCCCTGGACTTTTCCCTCAAGCAAGTACCATTTTAGCCGCGGGGTGTTCAGACAGTAGTTATCCCACTATGGACAAACAAAAACCTTCCTGCACGTACGATTCCACTAGTACAGTAGTACAGTAGTACAGTAGTACAGTAGTACAGTAGTACAGTAGTACTGAGTATGGACTACGTGTACCTGAAAGCCTCGCACATACATGTATATGTACCTTTTAAACTGCAGAAGACACTGACTCGTGAAGGGCACGGTATTTCCATGTCATGCTAGATCTTGAGGACATCATGAGAAAATTGTCTAGCCTAACCAGACATCAAGCTCGATCTCATCCGGTCACGTGGTCATACTTGCAGCTGTCCGTAGAAACAGTCCTCTTCGAACTACAATGTACATGTGATATTGTACAATGTAGCTCCCTGTTTCCAACACTGAGTGCCTGGGGATTTAATGGTCAACTGCCCGACAGCAAAACCGCACACAACTACATGGTATGTATGTGTGAAGACTGTGCTTAGTGTTAGGACTAAGGAAGGTGCGGGTCACTGAGTGGCAGGCAGAAGAGCAACCAGACCCGTTGTTATCGGACGATTCACGCTCGGTTGGATGCACTAACGTTAGACTGAGTGGCGGTTTCAACGAATAAGATTATTATTATTATTATTATCATCAGAGCAAAATTAGTAGCTGAAGTTGGCGAACAAGTAGTTACTTACAAAACAGTCAAATATGAACATTTACACCGATTACCTCTTGACGAAATTGTAACACTTACGATAAGTCGCACCAGGCCTCAGAAGCAGTGGCAACTGCTTTGTTCAAAAGATTGTACACATTGCAATCATATCTTTAAAAAAAAGGTTTGATCTCACGTTTCGCAGGATAAATAAATAGATTATGCAGTCACTCAATTACAAATCTATATCCTAGAAATTCTTGACTGAAACTGGCTTCAGCGATAAAGTACCATTGTCCATTCGTGTGACTTGGCTGGTCGATGAAACGAAGCGAATTGGCCCAAAGGATATAGATGTGTGACATTATAGATTGTATGCCTTTGTTCGGCGTGTCTTCGTACATTTTCATAGTTCATCTCGAGATCTACTGCTTGTGCTTGAACTGCAAGTCGACTTCTTGCAACGATACTGTCTGCGCAGGCATTTCTCACACTTTAGTTCGCAGCAGAAGATAAATTTGCAATTGCACTTGTCCAGTCCGATCTCCTCCTTCTCTTCGGAACAGCAGATCTTGCGGCAGGAGTCGTGGCTGTTACAGGACCTTCCCTCCGTGCCCAGGATACCCTGCGACCTATCCGTGCAGCAGTAGCTTGGCGATCTCTTCATGAACACCAGCGTGGTCTTGCCACTTCTGCGTCGACGCACCGTCTTCAAGCTATGGTGCACCTGGTTGCGGTGCTCCTTCCACGGCAAGAAGACGGCGTTGTTCATGAGGCCGCTCACCATCTCCCTGGTGGACGGTAAGCGATGGTAGCAGCGCATCTCCAGACAAGACGCGCTGATACCATTGCAGTCACATGTCTTTTTCATCTGCTTCTTCACCACCTGGATAAATACATACACAGTCGAGGAAGACAAATACGGCAGTCATTTGACTGTTTCTACTATGTCTCATTAATTTAGTGTTCTAAAGCTACCTCGAAGTAGCAACTAGGGCCTCCATCCGTAAGCGGACAGGCAAGAAAAGCACCACAAGTCATGCACCGCTAGAGCAACATCCATTTCTGCCCTGACCGCCCACCCATCCTAGGCCTGCAAAGCGGAATAATTATTTGAGTCACCCTGGCAACATACCGCATACACAATGTATGGATACTAGTGTGGCCATCAATGATAATTATAGATACATGATTGTACTGACGTACTCATACTGCCCTTTAATACTAGGCTTTATCATCCCTGCAATGGAATGGAGGTCTGGATGATTTGAAAACTTGGAGGCATCTCCTACTAATTGCCCGTGTTCGCACTTGACTCGAGGCTACAGCGCAATGATGTGGTTATTATATTTTTACCAATGCCAAGAGTAAAATAATTTAATAGGCACTGAGCTTATGCACTGGCGATAGTACTTGTTAGTACAATCAGTACTAGTACTAGTTGTTGCCTATCGGTTTGCTGCTACATGTATTATGCACTTGGCAGAAGTGCAAAGCTTTTACTGTACCATGATGCACCCAGTACACACTGTTTTCTTGATCCCCTCACACGAATATCACTGAAGGTGGGGTGGAGTGCATGGTAGTCCTTTCTGCTGCTGTGGTTTATCACGAGCAGACATGGGCGATATTGGTGTCGTGCATATCCCCTGCAAGGCAAGTTTGTCACGCCAGAAAATTCCCTCACCACATCCTTCCGGTGTACGGATGATTAATAATCACGTTGCTTCAGGCAGGGCGGGGTAGCTGGGATAATGATTTTACGACCTACTTGGAACGAACATTTATATCCAAGTTTAAATTATCTGGGGTGGCCTGTTGGCTTCTCACACATGGACTTGATTCTCCTTTGAATAGCAAACGTTATTTAATGGTGTCATTGTCATGATCCGTTGTGATGATAATGTCCACAATATTGAAGACGTAAGTACTGGGAAGTGGGAATGGCATTACGAGTACACGTATGATTTATAATGCAGTGGCAGTACCAGGCGTGGGCCATCCCCTGGATTATCAAAATGGGTGCCTTATCATTTTTCTGTTGTTTTTACAAACGAACAAACAAAACAAAAATTACGAGTACGCTGTACAAGTTACTTACAACTCGCCCCACGTCACGGTTGTGGTTGTGCAGTAACGCCTGGCGCCACTTCATGCTCTGCAGCTGGTCGGGACTGTTGAGCCAGTCCAGGATCTTGGCCGTGCTGTAACCGTACGTGATGATCTCCTTGGTGCAGGAGGAGCCCTGGCAGCTGGGATTAGCTCCACAGATGGTGGTCGAGGGCAGCCGTCCATTGTTGCAATCGTGGACAAGCTGTGCTGATACTGCTATGGAGATGACGGCGTGCACAAAGGCTGCTTCCTTGTGAGCTGCAACAGGAAGTACACAGGACAGGCAGACATAAAGTTTCAGCATACGTACACGTACATGTACATGTTTCCACAAACTGCCCAACACAAGTGGAACGGTGAAAGCCACATTTCAGCGTTTGTATGGTGCGCGCAGGTGCCTGTCAATTACGGCCTGAGCAAAGCGAAAACTGATGCGTGGCCTAAGCTTCTAAAGCCACTATTGTATTATGCAGATCAGGTGGCACAAAAGAGATATTCCTGTGTTCTGGCTACTTATTAGGTTTGTGGAGGACCAATCAAAGATTCTGTAATGATTCTGTAAACATTACAAGTGCAGCAGTGACTCAGAAGGTGATCAGCCGATGTCTTCATGGCCAGCTGTGGCCGCCATTGTTGGCCAAACACAACGTCACATGTCTGTCCTTGGCCGTATCTGATTTAGTTTCAGCTTTCATTGAAGTCTCCCAGTCTCACAATGGGTTTAAAACGAAAGGGAGAGCTGTCATTTGAAATATTAATTGAGCCCTGATGGGCGATTAATGGGTGTCAATGTTACGTGCGGTATTGGACTCGTTTAGGTAATGTTGGAATTCTCAATTCAGCTCCCAAGCAACGAGTGGACAACAGAAAAATACTGACAGTACTGTAATTATGCGGGAAACGAAACGCAGGTAACTGGTTTCATGTGCATTCTCCGACGTGCACGTGCGTCTCTTTCTGAGAGTATCAGTGCAGCGGTTGAAGGCTGGGTGAAGTGAGGGGCAGAAGCTTTGTGTGCAGATGGGTCCAGTCAAGTGAGTGCTCGAGAGGTGTTTATGTGCTACAACATGCCAACGCAAGCGATGCGACACCTAGCCACCTAGGGCTAGGCTTGATGGCTTGATCATCCTACACTACACTACACTACACTACACTACACTGCACTACAACAGTTACTGTAGAAGAAAGTGTAAAAAGAGTCGATGCTTCTGGTCCAGTGCATTGTACTCGGCTAGAGATACATACATGATTGGGTGCCATTAAATCTCTGTATGATTGGACCGTTTGACCTTCTACTATCGGCCTTGACGAAGTTGTTATCGACGGTGCAAGGGGCGGGAGAGGAACGTGGGTGGTACATGACTCAAGACAGAAGTGATGATAGAGTGGGTGTAACCGTTTTGGCACTAGGTCCACTACTAATACCAATAGTACTATAGAAATAAGCTGCTTGCCATGCATAGTGGACAGAGAGCGCGGGGCAGGCAAGGACTATCTAGTCTGTCCTGTACTACAGACTGCGGACTTTGTAGACGACATCTGAAAATTGGATAATGGACCCAGTGTATCACATCTTCCCACCCTCTTTGGCCTGCGGCGTGCAAAGTGGTCGAAACTGCTCAGCTTCAATATATTCCACCTGTTTAGGCACTCATGCATGGTCATTTCGACTGTTCGCACCTTGCAATTATTATAAACATGAGTATGTTTGCGGTGGTGTTTACAGGTGTCGGTGGCCGTGGTAATGACTAGGAATTAGAACAATGTTGATTGAGGGCCAGCAATGCAGCATGGGGACTAGGCCACTACTGTGCTCATAGTCCTTTTCGTGCGTTCTAAATGCGTACGTAAATGTATACGTGTGTTCGCTTGAGTTGCGATAACAATTGTCACGCTCACGCCTTCGGCAAGGAACAAATTGATTCGCCTGAAGGGAGATGCCTCCGCCTCACGGACAACTCTGCTGCTGTGAATCGCCATACGATGGTTCCCTGTGCAAGCACAGGCAGGTGTCTAGCCCCAAGCTATCAATCCATAAGGATTTTAGTGCTACTACTAGTAGATACTAGTGCTAGTACGAGTGCTGGCAAAAAGCGATAACTGGCCACAAGAGAAATGTTGTAAAACCTGCCCTACGTTGCGCTGCGCTCTTCTTCCCACATAGGGACATTGGTTTTATTGGACATGATGCATGGCGTGCACAGTCGAGCAAGAAACAATAGCACTGACTGTACTGGATGGTGATGACTTTGTAATCATTTCGCCATTGATATCTTAATCCAAAACACTTTGCAGCGACCGAACAGGAATGACTTCTACGTAGGCTGGAAACTCACTTTTGCCCAGAAAAACTTTCCAGTCGCTGGACGAACAGTTCCATCGCTGTGACGCCATCAACATCTGACAGTCGAAGATACCGCCAGCGGCTCCCTTCATTAGCGACGTGATCTCCTCGCCGGACAGCCTGCAGAGTTGTAAGGAAGAGTTGAGCTTGGCAGATTCCGGACAGTGCTTGGCGTGCTGTTTGTGCAAACTGTCTGACGCTGCAGTGTCCCTGGAAAGCAGGCGAATAACACAAGTGTAGTCGAGGGTTAGTGCTATCATGAATCATGACACTGTGCATCAGAATTCATCACGCTCGAACCCAATGCCACGTGGCGTAGTTTGTGGCTCAATCATGTTTCATCTGACCTGGCACATGCAGGCCTGCCACATAGACACCTTCAATTCGCTTATCCCTTATCCTGGCGTTCTGGCGGCCTGTTGTCTTTCAAACCTCTCGTCCATGCGAGGTGGGCTTCGGAGGTCAACACAGACCACCTCACGTGTTTCTGTGTGTTTGCTCAAGGGGCGTATTTAAAGTTCCCCAGGTCGTTTCATCCCAGCTGTGTGTTGCTTCTCGGAATGCGCCAGGAATACGACGCCTCTTCTGCTGCACGGAAAGGGAGTCTGAGGTGGCAGGGACGTTATGGCCCGGCCCATCGCGGTGATTACAACTGCGAACACAGCATGCGGCACATACCACAGCTTACTAGTGCCCTGGTCATCAAGCTAACCAGGCAGCATCAAGAGGATATCGAGGAGGCTGGTTATCTTCACTCTGCCCATATCTCTAGCAGCTGGTCATTTCCTTCAGGCCTACGGCTACGGCGAAGTCTCTCCCATAGACTCTTGGTTCCTAGTCCAGCCCACCCATCATCACTGCGGATTCAATGTTTTTCTTGCCCTCTAACAACAGCATCTTGACTTATCGGAGAACTGATAAATCACAGGTCATTTTCTAATTCTAGGCACTTCAATCACAGCACCCTACCATGTACCAGTGCAACGAGCAATGCAGTTAGATTGGGAGACTATGTACACTGTAGATCTACATTGCACATTCATTAGAGATTGTGTCCAGGATTGCTTCAATCAAGCACCCGCACTACTGACAATCACAAAAAGGATAGCATTCCGGAATGGGGAAATCAAGTTTTTTAAAGAGAGTTCTTCTGCACAGAAATGTGCACCCGCAGTGACCCTGCCGACCCGGATATTAACCAGATTACGCCGTGCCCGTTCTTGGCATCCAGTGCAGATTGGTCGAACAGACATTGATTAGCCAAAGCTCTCCTGAGGTTTTCACCTCACTTGATGTTGCCTCTTCCCGGCACCAACTCAACACCACTACAGTCTACATGTGTGCAATCGTGTCTTTGACACATCACTCTGTCTCTGGCTCTCCGTAGGGTTGACCAGGGCTAGGTTAGTGGTTGAATACAGCCTACAGGTGTGGGACTACTGATCGAGCTCCAGTGTGGGCTCGCTCAGGCTGATGTATCTGGATAGGACACGCGCCGGAGGTGTGTGGAGTGCGAAACACGATTCTAACACCCCGGAGACGTTGCTGGAAGTGGTTGTGTTCTCCGAAAGACTTTGCAAGAGGTGTGATGGTGCAACTTCCGATGCAGCTTCAGCAAAATACAATAATTATGTAGTGCTTTCACGTCAGTTTGCTTTGTGTATTTGTCTGTGGGATTATGGTTTACCTTTAGTCCTTTACCCTTGAGCACGAACATTAACATAAAATGCTGTATTGGAGCGACGTTAGACTGGTCTGTTATCATTTATGCGAGCTCGAGCAGTCTGAGGAAAGCCTACACGAGACACGAGAATGCATGAAGGTCTGTGAGTAGGGAGGGTATTCTAAAGCAGGCACCCATCATCATCACGAGGATGTCTGAAGTCTTCGGCTGCGAGTAGGACTACATGTATAGCATTGTAGCTAGCATTGTGGGTCTGCGAGCGACACATTTTGACATGTCAATGGCACCAGAGCGCGACTGAAAGTGTCTGCGGACCGCACCAGTGGTTGTTTGTTTCGGAGGTGGTCTCCGGCGCTGACCGAGAAATGTCGGGAAAATCCTGTGTACAACCCCCATGGTATTCCATCGGATAGCAGTACGTTGCAGTGAAGAACAGTGAACAGTGCACAGTGCATGACTAGCAATACTACAAGTAACCAACACTAACAGTGGAGACCAGTGCATACTGTAGAGAGAGTTGCATGTATCACTTACCACCAAATACCATTAGCCGTATTGCTTGCTGATAGAGTTAGCAATAGCAGTAGCGGTGCAAGTAGTGAGATCATCGACGGGCCCATCGGCATACTTCTGACGTGTGAAGCCTGATGCTCACCAACTCTCCAAAGGCCACAGAACAGGCGTCCGGACATCTTGCTAATAATTACACTGGGCAGAATGACAACTCTTCGCGCAGAACACTGGCTGGAAGAATGAGGCGTCGCTACAACCTACACCCGTTCATAAATGCAGCACGATTGTCTCCGGGTGGCGGTGTACTGCGGCAGGCGGGCACACCGTACGTCAGTATTCTACGGCTGGGCTGTGTGTATGTGAGTATTTACTCAGATCCTCGTCATTCTGGTCTGACGGCACCAACTGACAACGTGCACCTCTTCTTATAGCGTCACACTATACCTTTGAGCGGTCGTAGAGCGTACAGCCTGGGTAAGGTAGCGTACAGCCTGGTGAAGGTAGCTGCGCCAAGAGCAGCAGCAGAAGCACCAATGCCTGTGCCGGCGGCGGTATCTACTATAACACTCTCCTGCCTGGACGGTTTGGACACTCCTGCCTGGACGGATATGTATGATCGGGAATACACATTTCTGGAAGAGACTATGTGTTGTCTGCAGTGGAACCCGCTCGTCAGCCCATGCCATGTTCCAGCGGCCAGGTCACGCCGGTGGACTCCTTCATCGAGCAGTCCATGCGGCCTCAGTGTACCGCCTGGACCATCTACACACGTTCTAGCCTGAGCATGAGAGCAGTGGTAGTGCTGCTGATCATCCTGACGCCGGGGCAGAACGGTGGAAAGTGTAGTTAGTATGGTGAAAAGTGTAGATCATCACAGGTATCAGTGCTATGCTACTGCTGTACTATTAGTGTCGTATCGCCCGGACCATGGCCGCATTGGCCTGCAGGACACCAGTATTTCATGGCATGGCAGAACGCTGTTCAGCACGACCATGATAACTGTGGTACTTATGCCTATCACGCGCTCAGTGCCCAGCATGCAGGGCTATCCACCGCATGCCCATGCACAATGCGGCGAGCTGGCGTTACTTGTACTACCAATTCGGAATGCTAAGCACCTGATTGGGAGAGAGGCCTGAGCAAAGCAGATCCTACCGCGCAGACTTTGCGACCCCCGTGACAAACACGGCTGCTAGGAGCTCTCGAAATCCAAGCTGCTGTGCTGATCGGAGCCGCGCGTACCGCGCTGCAAGTCCGCTCGTCGGGATTTTTGTGGGACTTAGCAATGATCAGTGAGCTGAGCGCCCTCTTAAGAAGTCCACTTGCATGGCAATCACAGAAGCAGTCATTATTTTCACACCATGGCATACCGATACTCTCTGTACAGCTTACTACAACATTGTACCTCCGCGGAGATCCTAATTCAAGGCGATGCACAGCTAGCGCAAACACCCATACTCCATAGCTGTTCTGGTGAGCACAGGCTCTACGATGCCGATGGTGAAATAATACTACTGTGTAGGATGTGACACCGAATAGACACATACATGAGGATTGTACATATCGATATCCTTCACGTACATCTACGCTGTACCTTAAACTGTTTGTAGCTAAAAAGATCCGCGGACGGCATGTCTCTGCACGGAGTCTAATCGCACCGCGACCCAAACAACCTTCCAGCCCAGGCTCGCATACTCTAGGTCTAGACGAACTACTGAAAGAAGATACATGCATTACATGCAAGACTATCGTCGGCTCGACCTTCGAACAGGAAAACCCTGCATTCCCGTCTGCACAGGACTGGCCTGTATTGCAAAGAGACTAAGTCACTTCCTCTTCACAAGGTAAACGAAGCCTTCCTTGAATCATTTGCTTTTAAGCTAACCTAAGACATTGTCGCCTAAGCACCGCCCCCTACAAACATCGCCCAATGCTTCCAGGCGTTACGTTGGTGGCAATATGCCGTATACCAGTGCAAGGTCATGTTTGGGTGCATTGCTGTGGATTAGCAAGGTAAAGGGAGGGGTAGAGTGTCGGAAGCTGAGGACTCGAAGGAGCCAAACCTAGCACTATTGTAAGCACCAATCACCGCATACGTTGGAGTGTGCTGTGTTTCACGACCATTTCTCCCGCCTCCATGTCCTGTTTTAGAATTTAGAGGGCGCAAACATGGATCAGTAATATTTTAGGCGAGGATCATTTTCAAAGGAGGAGGCAAACTAACATCCGCTTGTCTCCTGATGAAAATAACCGTTGCATGGTGCTGACTTTGGATGAGGTGCTGTTTGCTACAGCTGTGATGAGTTAGACTGTAGATTTCTACTTGGTCTTCTCGCGAAACATCCATGCTCGCAATCTTGCATGTTCTCAGCATCTGATGGGCGCTCGCGCCAATAGGCGTTCGTTCAATAGATCTTTCGGGCACAATCCAGAAAGGTTTGATCGGTTTAGGCAAGCCGGAGGATTTGCTGCTCATAACTACTTCTAACGGAAACGTCACCATGTTTCGTAAAAATAGCTTAATTAATTGACACACACGCGCGCACATCCACAAACTTTAAACTATGATCGCGAATTTACATAAAATGTGTCTGAATGCAACGAGGCGTGAAGAGTAACGTTGTCGGGTCTGTTCCTGTTCACCTCTTCTTGAGGGAACACGAGGCCATGACGTACATGACTGTACTCGTACGTTATACATTCAATGATTTACATGTGCTGTACATGTACATTCTAGATCCTTCACTGCATACTAATGTACAGTTGTCACTGCTCACATACAAGTGGCGACGTCATTGCGGCCACAGTTGTCGGACTTGAACAAGGAGAAGAGAGTACTGCACATCTCATGTACAGCACTTGCAGGTACATGAGCTCCCCTAGTCCTAGTCCTAGAGTAACAGCGCCATCGAACCGTTCTCATGAGGACGTTCCACTGAAACCATTGCCGTTGCCCTTCGACCTACATGACTGTATTCTATTCTATGGATTGTGAGTACATGTAATTGTATTAGAATCCTTGGTAAGATCAAAGAGGAGGGGACTTGTCGGTGATATCTCCGTTGAATGCGAGCAGTTGTCGTCAATCAACAGCCGACACGTATCTATGACTAGTATGAGTGAGGATCGGAAGGAAACTTGGATAGAGGAGGGGCGAGTTGCAACAAGCGCATGTAGCGGTTCCTGTTTGGGCTGTGCACCGGTATGTGTGCCGCCACATCATGTGCAATGTACATGTACATGTATGTGCAGCGGGAAAGTCCCCGCTGAAATTGTGTTCTGTTGCCCGTACAAGAGGCCGATATGATTGTGTGGAAAGTCCCTGCTTCGACGCCCAATGCAGATATAGATAACCTTTTAGTTTGGATAGACACATATCCTACGCAGTGTCGCAGGTGACATGCTGGTAAGATGGGAGAGTAATTCTTCATCAACGCAATGCTCTTCACCATTAAAACATTAATGTTGGTGAGAGCTCGGTCTCCATGTACTAACATGCAGCAATGCGTGTTCATCTATCTATCTGAAGTAAGATGAAAACAACATGGATGCACATGCATGGTAGACATCTGCGCGCCATGAATACCTTGACCACAGACGAATGGTGTTCCACAGTGTGACAGTGTTCTGCGCTTGCAGCAGCCTGAGCGGGTCTCACAGGATCGTTATACTTATAGTTACGTATTTACTATTTAGCTGGATATGGTGTGTTTGACCGACAACTGCATCGAAAATGTGTGTCAGTTTCTGTAGAGAATAACTGCGTTGCTCCAGCATAGACAACGACATCAGTATCCATGTACATCATGTACCTGTACATCGTGTACCTGTACATCGTGTACAATGGAGTAATACTAACCTAGCGTCAATCGCCAAAAAAGGACGGTTTAAGTGCTCCCCGTTGATTCTATCTGCTCCTGTCTGTGGTGTCAGTATTATCAGATCAAGGAAAACAGGGTGCACTGTGTGATTTCAATAGATGTGCAAGTAGAACATACATGACTGTACGTGTACGTGTATGTGTGGCTAAGATAGGCACATGAACGCATGCAAGAGCAGTGAATGTTTATAAGAACATCAACAGCAAGGTACTTTGAAGTAGGATTTATCTAGCCTGCTTCATTATTCATCGCGTATACACATACTACAGTACGGTTTTTTGTTTTGTTTCCGAAAAACCACACACCATTTGACGGCACAAAGCAGCAAGGCAGCGATGAGACATATGAAATGGCAGGAGTGGGGGAGAGGCAGGGGCAGCTTGACCGACCATAGGGTCTCGTATCCATCTAGTGGTTTCAACCGTTTGCGCAGGTGTTAAGCGTGCGGATTTGCTGTTGTTTCCAGCAACCCTTACCTGGTCTCACACATGCCGCATGGTTCAAAGTTCCGTGCATGTGCCACCCAGTTCACATTAGCCAGGGTATAGACCCAGCCATGATGTGCATGCACCTTACTCAACTCTATCCTCATTTGGCAGTTCGTAATGGAGAAGGAACTCAGGACTAAAAGCAAAAACTGCAGAGAAAGCTAAGATCCTTGCAGCTCCAGTCCCAGCAGACTAGGAATGCGAAACGTGAGATACCAAAACGGATCAATCCCGGTCTAGTGGGTGTCTGTTTCAGCACGTTGTACCCTCGATGTTTCTCATATGACCAAGGCGCCTGTATACTGAGCTATAGTCTCTACTAGTATGAAGAGTTCTCCACGACCAAGGCAAGCTCTACATGTCACGTGGTAGCAATACAGTGTACATGTAATACTGTCTATTTAAACGAGATCGAACAAGATCGAAATAGCTAACCGTCCGGAGATTGAGTGTGCTGGTGTATGTATAATACTGTGTACATGTATGTATAATACTGTGTACATGTATGTGTAATACTGTGTGCATGTACATGTATGTGTAATACTGTGTGCATGTACATGTAGCATCAAGAGTACATGTACATCATACATGGGGTTGTTTACTGTTGATAGTATGACACGGTTAGTATTATTATTGTGTATGCCTGACTGGTGGATCGGTGGACCAGCGACCAGCTAGTGATCCGTAACGATTACGTTCATGGGAGATCATAGACACTATGATACTGTCCCGTTTCCTCTCCGTATTTAAATGATTCTTCTGTGCTGTATACATGATTGTACTCGTAGTGTACAATATCATGTCCAGGTAATGACCCTGCGACAGTGTGCATTGTGTGTTTGTAACACACCCTCCTCATTTACCCAACAACGTATACGTGCCGTGTGAAGAGGTATCCATTACGAAATGTAAACCCCCGACATTGTATCCTAAACTTAGTTTGATTTACGCATTCACCGATACTTGTAATGAATCCATTTTCAATTCGCTACCCTGGCAGAAAAGGAACACCCTCATTGAAAGCGTCTTTCATTTGAATAAGTGAGATGTGATCATGGATCTGATCATGGAGAGCGGAGTACAAACAGGAAGGTGGGGTGTTACTGTAGCGTGGAAGTGTCATGTACAAGTCCTTACAACGAATCGATGGAGGCTAGGGATGCTTGTAAACGCGATTCAAGGACTAGTAGAGAACGTTCTGCGAATCATTTCCCCATCCATCACGGAGTAACAAGTTGCATGCCGGTTTCCCAGAACTCCTGAGGGTGCATGTGCCATTCTTCGTGGTGGGTGGCTCCCTAAATGTGTACAATGTATGTGTGCGTGTGCGTGTTTCCGCTGAGCGTGCCTTCATCAGTAACTCCAATTTGCGAAGAACGTCGAAGTGTAGGCCACAGTGATGTCTCCGTACATTGCGACTTATCACACACACACATACACACACACACA